CTGGAAGAAGATGCCATCACGAACTTTTTTAGCAAAGAAAGAAGCAGCTGCACCAGGACACAAGGCATCTAAAGATAGAATAATGATCCTGCTTGGCGGTAATGCAGAAGGAGACTGCAAATTAAAACCTTTGGTAGTTTATTGCACTATGAACCCTAGGGCATTCAAAGGGTTAAACAAGCAATCACTCCCAGTAATTTGGAAATCAAACAAAAAGGCTTGGATGACAAGGCAGTTGTTTGAAGAATGGTTCACTTCATATTTTTGTCCAACAGCTGAAAAATACTGCAAGGAAAATAACTTGGATTTTAAAGTCCTTTTGATTTTAGATAATGCGCCTGGACATCCCCCTTTATTAAATGAGCTCAATACCAATGTGAAAGTTATTCATCTACCAGCAAATACCACTTCGTTACTTCAACCGATGGACCAAGGAACAATTTCAACATTCAAAGCATATTATTTGATACAAACCTTTAAGAAAGCCATTGAAGATACAACTGGAGATAACCCAATTACTCTTGAAGAATTTTGGAAAAAATACAACATTAAACAAGCAGTTGAGAACATCCATAAATCATGGAACAAAGTTACAGAGAGCTGCATGAGGGCTGTCTGGCAGAATCTTTTGCCGGAGTGTGCAAACAATTTTCGGGGTTTTAACGATCGTGTCAACGAAGTCATCAAAGAAATTGCTACAGTTAGACAAGAACTTGGCCTTGAAGCAGATTTGGAAAACATTAGAGAATTGTTGGAATCTCACTCAGAATATTTGACTGATGACGATCTTCTTGCAATTGACCATGAACATGCTTACAAAGAAGATGAAAAGGAGACAGAAGAAAAAGAAACGGCTCCTAAAGAAATTTCTAGTAAAGAACTTGCAGAATTACTCACTGCAATTGAAAAACTAAAGAAATCATACGAGAAGTAGTCCCAAATGAAGAAAGAAGCATGAATGTTTGCCGTGGCCTGGATAGGCAAGTGAATTGCTATCGCACAATTATGCAGGAGAGAAAGAAATCTACTGTGCAGTTGAAATTGGATTTGTTTTTCAGTAAAAATAAATGTTAATTCATTCGCATTTATTTTATTTATTTCCCTTATTATTTAGAAAAAAAATATGATGAATTTTAGTGGAAAAAAAAATTATTATGTAACTTTGCTAATTTTGAGGATTCATTATAATTATTACCATATATTCTTAAATTTGATTAGCGCAGTTTTGCTTAACACAGTAAAACTCAGGGATTTATTAACCACGTCAATCAAGGGATTGCTGTATTAGAGCCGCGATATTTCAGAAAAAATAGGACTTTTCCAGCCCTGTACTATGAGGTACTTGGTTCAAATTAATAATAATTACAGCAATCCCTTGATTAGCACGGTTTTGAATACCGCGATTTTGATTAACGCGGAAAAAAAATTTGTGACTTACCCTTAATCTACGCGGTGCCAGTTTTGATTAGCGCGACTTTTTTTTCACAACGCATCATTTTCCTGCCTCTAGCCAGAGGTGTTACATTCATAACAAAAGTGTTACTTTTTGCTTATTAGATCTTATGTTGTTATTTTTGTAACGACTTTTGGAAAAATTTGCCAAATGTTGTTACTTCATGAATTTCAGCCAATAATTCTTTAAATAAGGTCCCGTTCCGTAGGCACTTGTGCTGACTACAGGGTCGGTTTAACCGCGCCTTGTCTCGTTCATAACTCGAATGGTCGAGTTCGGCAACGTTGGCCGGTAAGTGCGCCATGCCGGTGTTCTACTAGTTACTTGTTAGCCTTCAACTGGTCAAGATCGCTGCTATATCTACTGCTCACTTTTATCAAACTACAAAATTTTCCTTGATAAATTACCGTCATAATTATCGACAAAAAGGGAACGAAGAAATCTACTGTGCAATTGAAATTGAATTTGTTTTTCAGTAAAAATAAATGTTAATTCATTCGCATTTCTTTTATTTATTTCCCCTACTATTTAGAAAAAATATACGATGAATTTTAGTGGAAAAAAAATTATTATGTAACTTTGCTATTTTTGAGGATTCATTATAATTATTCCCATATGTTCTTGATTAGTGCAGTTTTGCTTAACACTGTAAAACTTGGGGATTTATTAACCGTGTTAATCAAGGGATTGCTGCCACACTCAGGATGATGTATGTTTTCAGTGAATTTTCCCCGCGCATTTTCACTTTTTTTAAGCTATTGCTGTGCACAGTTGGCGCAATGTAATGAAAAGTGATTATCTTTGCGCACGTGTTCGCGCAATCCCGGCCATCTTTATTTTAGAAGAAATTTTCTCCAAAGTCATATGGCAACACTGAACACCATCTGTTTACATTTCGTATATATAACAGCCGCAGTTTACGATTACCGTACGTTACGTACCCGACAAGGCAGACAACCGGAAGAGTCAGAAGTAACCCGGACATGTCTTACATTTTATTATTGTCAGTTCGACTCGCGTAGTCAATATACTCGCGTATATTGTCAACTAAAATAGTAGAACTATTTTAGCTTTCTAAAGTACGGCACACGGCGCATTTTTTTACCAACGTAGTACGGCGCACCGCGCAGGTTGTTAAAATGACAAAACAAATTCCTGCACACCTGGCACATCTTACTGACCATGGGAATTGGGATTGCTGTAGATGTTAGCAGGCCGTTAGCCTATTTGAATTTAGGTGTTAATAAAATTTACTAGGATACTAGCTGCCAAATTATCAATTTTCTTAATAGCACTGCAAAGCAAATTCCAACATTCAGGTAGGCTACTGCATAGTGGCAAACCAGAGCTTTTTTAGAATCAGTTCATTTTTAATTTCCTCATTTACTCAAGATTTAAACCAATTTCTTATGCATGATAAAGCTGGTATCCAGGATACTTTATTGGTCTACTTATAAGACTCAAAAATGAACTTGAGGGAGAGTCTAAAAAACTCTCTGCTTTGCCACTATGGGCTACTGAGCCTTTGAATCTCATTCTCAGGTGTCGTGTCGTGTTGGCATAGTGACAAACCAGAGATTTTTTGGAATTGGTTCATTTTTAATTCATCATTTACCCAAGATTTAAACCAATTTCTTATGTATGATGATGCTGGTATATAGGATACTTTACTGGTCTACTTATAGGACTCAAAACTGAACTTGAGGGAGAGTCTAAAAAACTCTCTGCTTTGCCACTATGCGTGTCGGCGGTGTCGGCAGAACTACCAATTCAATGTATTCACTAATCACTTGAATGATGAATCACTCCACAATTTCACATGCATCATGCTCAAGCTGATTCATGCATTCATCATTTCATGGTGTCTCATTTGATCGATATTGAGCAGAGTGATCAGTCCTCAATCCTCATCAAGAACTACTGCTCTCAGTGCTCTGCAAGGACTAGGCCAGGTAGGCCTACAACTACAAGGACTAGCCTACTCAATACTCATCAAGCATATATAGGCACGTGCAGAAATTTTTAATTTCTCGTAATTTTGTTAAAAATATGTGTATACCACAACACAAGCTGACAAGCACAATGGAAATGATAAGGTTAAGTGCCTAAGTGGATTAATATAAAAGGCCCTCTTTACACTTGGTTTATACTTAAAAGTATTGTTGATAAAGAAAATATTATCTAAAATTATATTATTGACAATTGTATGATCCTTTGAGAAGTTACCTATAGCATGTTCATGTCCAGCTAAGTGAGCTAACTAACGGTACCTCGTAGATAAAGACAGAAAACGAACATTAGTCACATTCCTCCGCGTAATTTCTCTTCACTGACGTCATCTTCCGGTACCGTTGCTTTCCGAAAAATACTGAAAACTGCGGACAATATTAGCCTCCTTGCCGTAACTGAATCAACCATTACATTAAGCGATGGAATAGAATAGAAATGTCGGCACTGAAGAAATAGGCCCATGGCTTGTTGCCGATTCTTGAATTTTTCGTGACTTGATCCACAAGGGATCCGGCCTTTGGATCCCGATCTTTCCACAACAGACGATTGATTGAGATAGCTGCTGGACTTATTGCCTGGTTCGTAACTTCGTAATTTGCTAGTAGAAATATAGTAACATGGGTGCAAAGCTGCCCAGTCACGTATAAGATACGAAAAGTTCCGTGAAGTAAAGTCAGCTCAACATCATTCTGGATCCCAAAACTCGGGTTCAATTCAAACAAAATCTTGAAATGGGTTCATTACAGAGACCTTGATATTTGTCGCATATTTTAATATAACCAAGACCAAAACGCAATCGGGTCAAAATTATATTAATAGTGAAACATCGTTAACCCAAGATTAAATGAATATTATAATGTAAACGACTGAATGGTGTATGGGGAACGGCGACGGTAGATCGCGGAGTATTGAAGGGTATAATAATAATAATTCCACATCCAATCATTTTCTCAAAAACTTTTTCTACAGCTTCAATCGTAGAGTTATAGCCAAGTCAAACGATTCCCCTTCCAACTCTCGCTCTCTGCTTCCCGAACTTTGCAACAATCAAGTGTCGAATGGCAGCTGGCAGATTCGAAGGCCTAACGCTGGAAACGGTTTGGGTCATTACGCCCTAATCCCATCGTGGGATATCTTAATGCAACTTCCAACTAAATAATTTATTCATGTCCAAGACCAGACGGCTTAGTCGACCTGATCCGCTGAAATAGACTTCAATGAATTGCGCGTGTAGTTTGTCATTGATCTGCAATATTCCTCGATTCACGTCAGTCTTTAGGTTTCAGATAGATGTCAATCAAAACTAATCAAAGTTGCAATGATGGCTAATAACTACAAAATGATGGTGAAATTCATTTCTAACATTTTATGAACAAAGCTTCCATGATCGAGTAAAAAATCTTGAACGAGTGCCCATGATTTTAATATTGTAAATTCAAGTGCGATCTGAAGACAAAATGAACCTAGATTAGAAGAACCTTTCTTGCCTCTCGAGTTTTTAATAGAACGCAGTTCGAGGTAATGAAAGAATATTTTATCCATAAGCTTTATTGGCTTAGATCTTGGAAGGATACAACATCTGAAAAGAAAAAAATAAAAGTCAGTGGTTTTAATGAACGTGAACTTTTAGCAATTATTTAATAACGTAGGGAAAATATTGGCAGAAATTTTTATCACAGATTTTTCCAAATTTGTCATTTCAAGGAATTTAACTCATTACAGCAATTGCAGGCAACCAATCAACGGTTCGCCATAATTAAAAGCTTCATTTATGAAGTAAGAACGAGAATTACCATAACATTCAAGACATTTCCTTCTAAAATTTCTTGCTTTATTGGAAATAAATGTCATATAAAGAAAAAAAGTTACTGCTGCAGCTGGAAGCCCATAAAGTTTTTAATACAATTTTTTCGGTAGTCTATGATTGACAATAATTGCAGGGCATTACAGTAAGTTGTATATTTTACGAAGCGCAAGTTAATGATAATTTAGGTTTCTATTCTAACAAGGTTACTAAAAAATTCACAAGATAATTTACCAAAGATTTGTGTTGTTAAAAACATTTGTGGTAAATTGTCGTAAGAAAATTTTAAGGACAGGACAGCTTTAACTCCGTGATTGAGATATTTGAGTAATACTCACAATCCTGACGCGTTTGCCAATAGCCGCGGGGGGAAGGTTTGTGGAGAACTTGGCACGGACGGACCCAGCATTGCCGTGCAAGCGAGTCACTTTGCCCCAGATGGCGCGGAAAGGACGGGTCTTCTTGGCATCCTTGCCGGTCTTGCGCTGGCCCTGCACAACAGTCAACGTCAGATCCGCAGTAAAAATTAACCTCTAAACTACATAATTTTCATGTAACTCCGTTGCCGTTACTTGAAATGAATTGATACGGAGCCAAAAGAAATGGGGAAATCAATTACATATCTTGTGTAGAAATATTGAGGATGATAAGGAATGAGCATAACATTACAAAGAAAGTTGAATGGGAAAATAAAAAATGTGTATAACTAACTGCTGAATGCTATGTCATGTATTATAGTTTCACATCAGTAAGAGTTTCCAAACATCGAAATATTTTCCGAGGCTGCGAGGATAAGTTTGAAATTCTGATTACAGCTTACCACAGGTAGAAATACACTATAGATCCAATTCAAGTCATTCATGCAGCTCTCAAGCAATCAACCAAGAAACTTAATAGTGATGATCGTGGCAAACCTTGTAAACAAAAGCACACTTCTTGCCGACGTAGAATGCGGCGTCGTTCTTGGTGCGGGAGCCCTCGACGTGCAAGATGGCGGTCTGTTCGTGCTGCCTACGCTGGCCGCGTCTGTAGCCTGACATCACAGCCAGGGCATGAAGCCTGCAAACAACGTAGACGCATGAACAGTTGAAATTTACAAATATTATTGATATCAAGAGACATAATGCATCAATGAGATGCAAGATAGTTGTTCATTAGTGAAACACAAACATAATGCTGGCTTGATAATTGAAATATTTAAATATATGAACGCTATAACAATAAAATAACAAGCAAATATGGAAAATAACACAAATCTTTGAAGAAAAATTGCACAATTTTCATTGGTTGGAGACAAGAATAAGAAGAAGGACACAAAGTTCACAAATGCCAAAAATTTTAGACAGTGTTTGCATTAAATATATATTTGCATGAAAATGCATTAGTTAAATTGGGATTCTTAAGATTCTTGTCATCCAAGAAATAATCAAAATAAGGAAAAGATGAGACAATACAACTATAACACCATAACTATAAGGAACAAGATAATAAATTGATTTGAACATTACTCTCTAGGAGAGATTTATATGCTTGCTTGAACTTGAACTATGATCCACAGTGACGAAAACTGCTTCTACAGAATCAAATGAATAATTGAGACCTTACAAAACCCAAACAAATTTTGAAGTCATAACTGTTCCAGAACTGTATAGCTGAGGCTGGCTGAAGGAGATTATCAACAATAATAAATTACATCAAGAACAAACAATTCAGTTAATTTCCACATATGGCCTGCACCGGTCAACTGGTGGGCAGAAACTTGGTTCTATAAATGGAAATTTCTTCTACTTTGTGTTGCATCTAAGAAAAAATTAGGCTTGTAAGTGAAAAATCCAAGCTTTGATAGAAATTAAGTACATATTTCATTTTCAAGACCAACTCATTAGCCAGGCTTGTGGAAGTAACATTAAAATGTTCCACATTACCATTTACCTGTACCTTTCCTATGGAGGTAGGAGCATTTGTAGCCATTTCAGTATCATGTTTCAAGCCTATTAATTTTTTTAAATTCTCATACCATGTTATTTATAATGGCATTGGAGGTACTTTTCTGGTGCATAAAATAATGAATCCATTAAAATTGATTCATCATTTACAGCACAAAGTTAGTAAGGTTATAGTCAACTCAACATCCAAGATTAAGCCTCACTCAACAAGAACAGAAAATTTGTACTTTCCTATCTACAACCCAGGCTTTCTTGCCATTAGCCTGAGCACAAAATTTCTGCTACACAAATTATGTCCTACATATCAATAATTATCATGGATGTTGAGATTAGTTTCATGTCACTAACCCTAACAAAATTTTGAGTCACCCCAGCTTCTGGTAATCCAAATCAGAAGCTGCCACGACAGTAAATTTTTGCTGGGAAGTCACCTTTAGACTAAAAATCATCAAGACCCAATAGCCAATAATTAGTGAATGAGATTAAGCACAAAAAATGTACAACATAGACACAAGTAAAGGTTTGAGTGCAAGGGGTTTTATTGGAATCAAGTCTGAAATTTGGATATAATTTTTGGTCACTACTTCTTGGATAACAGGTTTCAATGTCTAATGATCTGCCATGTAACTTGAGAATGCAGTGGTAATTGGAAAAATGTTATGATCTAAGCATGTGCATAAGGTTTTAGTGAGTTCTTGTTTGTGATTTCCATCAAGATATGTTAGGTAGTTAGAAAGAATTTGTTGGCCACAGCTAATTCTAGCATGTACAGCATTGTGACATGTGTTTGGGGCTGAAATGATAAATTTTCTACAATCTAAACACACCAGAACATTGATTCAAGTTCATGTACAAAGTTTCATATAAATATGTTCAGTAGTTTGGGATATTGATATATCTGGTCACTACAACCATGCCACAAGACCAGCTGCAGATATGTTTGATGGGTCATTGCACTTGATGGAGCTGCATGAAATAAGCGATTGTAGTTGAAAGAATACGCATCTACACACTTTGAGAAGAACCTTATTGTGGAATTAAGTACCCTAAATAAATAGACCTATTCCAGTTTTTAGCTTCAGCATCTGAATCTTGATACTCTTTTAACACAACTGAATAAACCTAGCAACTGACCAAAGACTGGCATGTGGATGCTCAATGACCAGATCACCCCTGAGATAATATTTCAACAACTCTTGTGCCACACAATGAAACCTGGTACACCACCACAGCCCCTTCTTAACAAGTTGGGAAAAGTCCCACTTTTTTCCCAAAATGAATGGGATATAATTATAATTTCATAAAATTTCAGAAGGCATGATATCTCGTGGCTCTAATGTCATGCATTTCTGTTTGATAGAAAAAATCATGGTTTGTACTTTGCAAAATGTCATTTCATAAAATTTTCAATTTCCACAATCTGCAGTATTGCAATGCTCCCACCAAAACATCCTGCAGAATGTAACCATAGCGAGTCAACCAAGAACATTTTGTTGATTGCAAAGTAGCAGTCACATCAGAGCAGTCAGACTGCATTATCACGTGTTCAGTTGCCACTAAAGTAAAGACAAATGTTATTGTTGCTGTTTGACTGTTTTTAGGGTAAAATTAGAGATTTGGGGTAACACTTGCACAACACTTGGTAACAACAAGTTTGCAGCTCATAAATGGCTCTTCATGGCCAAGATATGGAATTCATGGCTCAAAGAAATGGAATCATGGCTGGCAAATCCATAAAACCACGGCTAAAAAAATTCAGTCACAGCTCACCAAGTAGACATATTCCATGCCTGCTTCTCAATAAATGAGATGATGTTCTTATAATTTGAGATTCCTCTGTTCATGTCCAGATAAGAACTGACCAAATAATGCTATCAGTTAAGCATGGAGATCATCACAAAATGCCTATCATGCATCAAACACATCATCAGCCAGTATGCCATTTCCATGTTTTGATGCACTCCAGTCCACACAAGGTTTTGGCATACATTCTTCTTGGCCATTACAGTGTTAACATCAGGGAAACATTGTTACTCAAGAGATACTGCAGTTGAGTTACCTACTGCTTATCACTGAAAAAGATTAATACTAGGCAAAACTATAATTTTAAGCATTCAATCACCACTAACAATGACAATCTGTTAAGATTTAGATGCAAACTTTTGCTTGAATTAATTTCATACAACTGATTTTTTTAGGAATGCGACAACATAATTGATAATTTGAGTGGTGAACATCTTTCTTATTTCTAGGGATAATATTACTAGGCTTACCTTCTGCTTTTGCCCTTTTTGCATCTGTTGACATAGGTTGTTCTCCTGGAAGAGAAAAATCAAATTATTATATATATTATTAATATTAGATGAATGTAGAACTTAAATATTTATTTACTATGATCGTCAATAATATCAATTCAATGCTAGAAGGAATTTATGAAGGCTATGATTCTTCAACTTACAATAGCTCAACAAAATGCTAGTGTTTTATAATTATATGAATAAGAACAATGAATGAACATCATTCTTCTGCATGCATGCAAGTCAGAATGAATGATGGCTAATGCAATTTGCCATCTGACTTGCATGCATTCAAGTCAGAATTTAAGGCAAACAATCTTAAAATTGATTATTATAAAATGCGAAAATTATTTTAAGAAATATTATACCTAATGTACGAATTGCTTGGAAAATTATAACCCATTTGGCTGCAGGGAGAAATTCTAGGAATAGCACAGTTGGTACTTAGGCCTATTCATATTTTCAAGCTCAATACAGCTAGGGTAAACGCGGTATATTCCGACATCATGGGTACCGTAAAATGGGGTAACTTAGACCACTTTTCATTTTTTTTACAAAAACCCCCAGAACTCAAAAACTATTTGACATAGAAAAATTTTGTCAATGGGCATTAAAGGCCTAATACTGAGGCTACATAATGCAATAGAAAGATTTAAAAAGTTTGCATATCTAATAGGTTAAAAAATTAAAAATGTGACCCACGAAAAAAAAGCTATTATTCAAAGCCTGTCAGAGTACCCCCTCTGAGTATAGACCTGTATTTTGCACGTTTCAATTCAAGTTTAATTTAGCTAGTAAGAAAATGGCATCATTTATAAGAAAAAAAGTGGTCTAAGTTACCCCATTTTACGGTAATTCTGACATATCTCTATAAATTCCTTTATATTAAGCTTCGACTTAGTTTCATGCATTCGTTGATGGCTGAAATAGTGACGTCATACCTTTGCGCGCCAAACTATTGCCAAAACACTAGGTTTGGGCTGTCTGGCAGGAAAATGTTGAGACCCAAAGAGAGACAGTGCATGCCACCCAATGAGAACTGTGAGATCATCAAAAAATGTGTCAAAGTTGATAGTTGACCTTGCTCTACCAAATAGTGATAAACTGTTTGTGTAGAAACTAGAAAGAATGTTATGGTTTGAGACTTTTAAATATGTCTGTGAATATATTAGGAATCCTTCAAGCATACTTGTATTTGCTGATTTCAAGTGGTAAATAAATTAATAGATGATTAAGTTAAGAAACGGATTTAGACACAAAAACTAATTCCGACACAAATTGCATTGGACACACGCAGCTCGTTCCAAGCTGTGTGCAAAAATTGAAATTTCTTAATTAAAAGCTTAATAGCTGTTAATTAAAGGCCTAATTAAGTAGTGTTCAATATTCAATAGTGTTCTAATTCAAAGCCACGTTGTATTCCAATACAGCTTACACAGCAATCAGAATTTGAACACAAGGATGTCGGAATTACGTATTACCTAGTAGAGTTTGAAGCGCGGCCGGAATTTGTCTCACAACGTGCCAAATTTAGTCACACACAGCTTCGAAATATAGGGATTTGGTAGATTTGCATTCTAAAGGCTTTTAAATAAAAATGGCAACAGCCCGCTACATTTTACTGTAGCAGTAGGCTAGCGGTAGCGCCCGCTACAATCTAGTGGGTGTAGCGGTAGCGCCCGCTACATTGAAAAGTTCGAACTTTTGTGATAATTGAAACATTTGAACTTCTGTGATAATCTGACGCAACACTTTGTGACGTTTCATCATTGCTGGCGCCTAGTGCAGTGTTTTGAAAGTCGCGTAAAGCAAACGGAACGACTAGGGTAAACGCGGTATATTCCGACACATTAAGGATATATCGAGAAATGAAAAACTATAAGAAAAACCGTATGTGTTACGTAAGTTCTGTTGCCTTCACATGACTCTCAAAACACTTCACTACGCGTCAGCAACGATGGAACGTCACAAAATGTTGCCATATTTATTAAAAAGCCTTTAGAATGGAAACCTACCAAATCCCTATATTCCGTCACTTTGTGTGGCAACATCCGATACCTAGTGTTTTTGCAGTATTTCGACACGCAAATGTATGACGTCACCATTTCAACCATCAATGAACGCATGGAACTAAAACAAAGCTTAATATAAAGGAAAAGCTGGAGAGGTGACGGAATTACCTACGATGTCGGAATATACCGCGTTTACCCTAACAAGTAACACATAGGTACAGTTATATTTTTACCTAGTTTTTCATTTCTCAATGCGTCTTTAATGTGTTGGAATATACCACATTTACCCTAGGCACCAACTACCAGGTATTAAGCTATTATATTAAACTTTCAATCTAAAAAACCTAGGTATTGGTGGTAACAAAATGAAAATTTAGAACTAGTAGAAGCAATAAATTCCCTTCATTTTTTTGTTACAATCTAACAATTCATACATAACCAGTCCTGCATTCAATAGCTACAGTGATTTTTGATAGTACCTAAGTTAACTAGTTTTATAGATAAAAAAAAATTTGGAGCTCAACATAGGTACCTACTCAGTCAAAGTGCACTTCACATAATTTAGATGACTTGACTACTGGTGAGTAAGGACTTGTTCTGTCAGAGATTACCAAATTTTCAACTTGTAGGTACCTTATTATACAAATATCTGCTTAGCTACAAGGCTTCCTGGCTAACTCTCAAAATACCTAGTTTCTAGCTAGCCTACCACCCACGGCCACTGTGACTGGCATCACCAAGCTTCGTTATCGTTATTAACAAATAAACACCTTAAAATACATCTCATTCATTCACCTGGCCTCACGAACTTTGAGAGCAACTTTTTTCTGGAAACGATTAAGTTTCCCAACGTGCAAATCAATCAGGGTCATTTTTACAGAATTTGGAACTCAGTCCAGCCTATTAACAAGTAAACAAGAACTCTGCGCCGATGTTAAGGCAGTGTTGCCACTAAAGAGCCATAACATGTTTGATAATATTTTAGACTAAACTTTGCTTACATAGGGTATATTCTTCAATGAATTGTACGTAACAAATGAAGCTACGCTACTTTTAATATAATTGCTTTGCTTTCATTTTGAATCATTTTCAAACGATATACTCCATATATACATACTTATTGCTGTATTCATCACTATATATCTTTTTATACCAAGAAATGGAATCAACGAATTGTTCCATCGAGAACACTGTATATCAAACAATTTTATAATAATTTGAATTACAACCAAACGATTCCTTTCTTCTTTCTTGGCATAGTTTCTCGATGTACAGCTGGCAGTTTCCAGATTTTAACTATATATTTATATATATCAACGAGCACGACAATAATTGTGACCGAATTCGCAACAAAATAATCAACAAACTCACATAAAATATATAAAAAACACTGCAGACCAAGTATAAATTAAAATAATTGCTTATCGGTCTAATATTTGAGGATGAAAACTACAAATTCATGGTCAAAACGTGAAGACGTCAGAGGACGACCTAAATGATTAGGTATAATAACCCCTTTTTCATCTCGTCGAAACGACACGCCCGTGCACAATTGTGAAGTTATTCATGTTTCTAGGTACTCAATGATGAATAGAAGTAAATTACCAGCATCCAAATGTTCAAAAAATTCCTCGTGCAACGTATGTAACATTAATTTAATTTCTTTTTTGCTCATCCATACTAGATTTCCGGATCCCATGTTCTTAAATTCAATTACATTAAGTTTAATTGCAAACTTGAATCAGCCTTTTTTAAACTAAGGATAACATAACCTCATGTTTGAGTGAATAATGAAATCAGCAGTTGAAGCTGATCGAATTTATTGCTTACCGGGATCAATCTTTCCAAAAATCTATCTTCTCAACATCTCAGATGGCGATTTTTGTTTAGGGAAAGGGCAATTGGTTAGATTACGACAGTGAAGTAATTATATATGCGAACTGTTCTGCAAGCAAGTAAAAGGCATCATATTCGATCGAGATAAAATGTAGCTATCATATTACAGGTCAGCTTACATAAATACAAGGTAGCGTCTAAAAGAAGGAAGGAAAAACGCAGATGTTTGCTAAAAATGATCTATCACAGGGTGAGGTTTTCTCATTACTGTTTTCAGCCCTAACTGGGTGATCGCTGCTGGATGAGCAAAAAATTTACTTGCTACTTAGAGAGCGGGATTCCTCAATCCCGATGATTTCTCGTTCGTATTATGTTCATTGTAGACTGTACTTTTCCCGCCTGTTGTGTTTTGATTGTCGCTTTGTTGTCGAAAATGAACAATTATTGTTCAATATTATTGATGAGATATTAATTAGAATTCATCCCTCCTTCTCTGTCATTTCAACTCATTCAACACATTTGATTACTGGCTGATTGCATAGGCCTACTGGGGTTGGGTCAAGTCAGGAACAGGTTCGGTTAGTGTGATTCCCCCCCACTGGGTTTGGGTCAAGTCAGGAACAGGTTCGGTTAGTGTGATTCCCCCCCACTGGGTTTGGGCTGTCTCTTATACACATCTAGATGTGTATAAGAGACAGGGTTAATGNGGAGTTTATCAAAGTCGCCTTTCGCAAAGTTCAAACGTTCACGCTTCCGAAGCGTCTTTTCTGCACAACACTTAATGTTGAAAAACAATGATTGCTGGTGGCTTTTGCCCAACGAAGCCTCGTGGCGAAGCTCATCTATCATTGATTCTTCACAAGTAAACACAAGATCTAGAATATTTGGGGTCTGTTTACCCCTAAAATGGGTTGGCTTGGTGATGTTCTGGATTAAAAATGAGTCTCGCACAGACTCCAAGAACAAGGATGCTGGTTGATTCCCATCTCTTGGAGAAGATTCATCTGCCCAGTCTATTTCTGGATGGTTAAAGTCACCAACGATCAACGTATGCGACCTGCTGAATGAAATGCTCGGCAAAAGGCTGTTTAGTACTTTATTGTTATCAGAGGAGCTGTTAGGTGATCTGTAAATTACCCCTATGAGGAGGCTATCTTTGCCTTTTAGAGTAAGTTCGCACCACACTGATTCTCTAGCTGATTGATGCTCTGCAGATAACTTAACTTGCTGGGCCCCATAAGAGGTTCTAACCCACAAAGCTAGGCCTCTACTGCACTGCTCTTCATTTAAGTTATGAAAACAATCAAAACCTGGCAGCTGAAATTCAACAGGTACAATTTTCCCCCCGTGATTATGTGAAATGCCGATGGCATGCAGTTCTCATCGAATCATAATTCTTACAGGAATCATACTGTTTATTTCCAGTCAACATTTCTGATGAAGTAAATGTGCTAAAGAGGATTTACTAATTGTTCAAGAATTTGAAGTCCCCTGTTGAATGATACTTCTATTTTCATCACACTTCCCGAGTTATCTGTCTGGGTCGTTTTACTAAACCACGAATCACTAGTAGACTCCTGCGTTTGGTATTAATCCGAGACGAGACGAGACGAGACAACAGGCTCTGTCCCGGTTCGCAATAAAAACCGGGACAATTTTCAGCCCTCCGTTGGAATTCCGGGACGATACCGAGACGAGACGAGACGTCCCGATTAAAATAGGTACCTTAAAATTTCCCGGAATTTATAGCCATTTTAACGAGACATAACGAGACTAATCAATTATTGATGTGGTGTAAACTTTGGCTTACCATCATACATTTATACAGAGCTGGGCAGCGCTACTTTGAAATGTAGCGGCCGCTACCGCTACATGCCCTAAATGTAGCGGGCGCTACCGCTACCGCTACAATGGCTTTACATGTGGCGCCGCTACCGCTACCGAAAATGTAGCGGCCGCTACATGTAGCGCGCTACTGCCCACCTCTGCATATATATAATAACTTGAGACGTATCGTTTTACTATTCTGATTGGAGCTCGGCAATTGAAATTATTTTTGCGACGAATACATGTTGTGGTTTAATATGGTAGTTAATCTAGACAGGCAAATAAAAATGGAAAAACACGTTTTTTTCAAAAATTGTGTTCTATGATGGTTTGGAGGAGGCCATACTAGCTGTAGCGGGTGACATCGGCTGATCGACTGGATAGACTTTAATTTGCCTCCAGCTCAATCACAGAATCAGATTCATTGATCTTGCCTTAAGCAATCTCCTTCAACAAAAAAGTTTGGAAAGAAAAATCAACATCATTTTAAAATACAAAAAAAATATAAAAAAATATAAGAATAACGTTAAACAAGCCCAAGTGTTTGATAACAATTCAGGAAACTGCGCAACTGTGAAGATTTCCTGCAGGCGTAGCACAAAATTTTACTAAAGGCAGAGATAATCTAATACTAGCTTTAGTATTATTAAGAATATCTTACTAGGATTCCACTCCACTCTCTACTAATTGGCCGATTAATCTAGACACTGCGTCCCTACTCCCTATGCGCTCCACGGCGCCTGAATTCGTTCCGAACGCATAATAAACTCGATTCATATTCGTACGGTTCCCATAAGTGCCATCGAAGCCTTCGTTAAGACTTAAGAGTTACATTTGTGACTCAATACTCAGCCATACATACATCGACAGGTTTGCGGTGTTTGTCGGACCACTAATTAACTGCCATGTCAGTTAGTCAGACAAATTTTGCTAAAGACGTGCAACAAGGATAATTCCAGGCTTGAAGGGCAAGTCCTATGAAGAAAGATTGAAGATTATGAAGCTTCCAAGCCTCAGTTATCGACGTCTGCGTGGGGACCTCATTGAAGTATACAAGTATACTCATGGTCTATACAAGGTCTCTCTCTTATACACATCTAGATGTGTATAAGAGACAGCGTTTATTCCGGGACAAATTTTACCCTCTGTCCCGTTATTTTTTTCCCGGAATTTTCTCGTCTCGTTTCGTCTGTCCCGGTTCATTTCGAGAAAATTATTTCGAGACGCAGGAGTCTAATCACTAGTAAAACTAGTATTAATACTAGTATCACTAGTATACTAGTATTAATACTAGTATCTAGTACTAGTAGATACTAGTACTTTAATACTAGTATAACTAGTATTAAAGACAGTCGAACAGTTGTTAAATGATTACATATTATGACCAATTGCCATAAAAGTAACTTTCAGGGATGGTTAATATTTTGTATTATAATTACAAGAAAAGGACTTCGGTTCTTCTAGAATCGCAACAAATCTCTGGAACATATTGAAATATGATAGCTGAAATAATGTTCGCATGCAACAAAATTCTAGCGAATAAGCACCAATTCAGCATGAAATCGTGACCATGAGTAGCGAAGGCCATCAGGCATCAGTGAAGTAATTGCACAAAACATCCGTGCGCCATTACATTGTCGAGAACGTTGGGTGGACACTTGTCCGTTTTTTAGAGCACGTTGGGTGGACACTTGTCCGTTTTTTAGAGCACGTTGGGTGGACACTTGTCCGTTTTTTAGAGCACGTTGGGTGGACANTGACCGCTTTGTCGAGCACGTTGAGTGGACACTTGACCGCTTTGTCGAGCACGTTGAGTGGACACTTGACCGCTTTGTCGAGCACGTTGAGTGGACACTTGACCGCTTTGTCGAGCACGTTGAGTGGACACTTGACCGCTTTGTCGAGCACGTTGAGTGGACACTTGACCGCTTTGTCGAGCACGTTGAGTGGACACTTGACCGCTTTGTCGAGCACGTTGAGTGGACACTTTACCGCTTAGTAGAGCACGTTGGACGGACACTTGAATGAAGGTAAGGATTATAAACTGAAAATAATTTTACTATAAAAGCAGTCGGTTATAGAGGGATGGTATTCTTTCCATCATTCATTTTTTCGGATAATCAGACAACTTTATTTACAGTAAATTAACAGTCATTTGTATATACTGGTCCATTTTAAAGAACTATCAAAACTCCCATTAACATAGATAGTGTACTCGTAATTAATTTTTTCTCGAAATGCACCTCCTCACACAATTAGGCATTGTCGCATCAAATCATTGTCAAGAGAAATATTCTGCATGCATCGTAAGCAAATACATTATCTGTTAATTAAGTCAATAACAACGCTCAACAGAGCGCCTTTACATTAACCTCAGGACTCAAAATCAATATTTAATTTGAACCTCAGAACCAAACATTCATCTGGTATTCATAAAATGTTTCAACACGAATCATTTTTTGTCATGTCAATAATAATGTCAGCTCTGACAGGGGATGTTGACTAGCTATGAGAAAGATAATAATCCTTATAGCGTTGACTTGTTGCTATATATGCTGCATTCCTGTCAATAATCATGAATGGTGAGAACCGTATTCTGATACTTTCAAATATATGTATGAATAGTTTGATATCGTATAAACGTATCTAAATACGACCAGAGAGACTGCAAATTTCATCGCAGTTAAATGAGTACAAAGTGCTCACTTAAGCGTGAAATTATGGCTGGTACTGTGAAGGACAATTTGCCTGAGCATATGGATCTCACCACATATCCGTTCGTCATGCAGTGTTGTGCGGAGGTTCGGTGGGATGTGTCGGACATTCATTGTTCTGCTGCTGTAGAGCGTTCTTCATATTTAATGCCTAGATCCAAAATTGAAGAATAAAAAACACCACATTTTAAAAGTTTGTGAATTAATATTGATTTTCTTACGAATGTATTATACTGGAAAACCCAAGTTCAGCCTATAATATTGCTCAACAGTATAACAAAATTGTTTCATTGTGGAACGACCAAAGCTGGATAAAATATCCGTAGAATGTCATTCTATGCACGTCATACCTGGCAAGGCATGATAAAATATTTTTGGCTTCATAAGATGCAGTGATCTGAGGCATTTCCTAGATCATATAGATCAAATTGACAGTTACTGTAATTCTTGCTGTTGTGATAGCAAATGACGTGGCGTTTCTCGAAGATTAGTTACGTTTAATTGGCCATGGCAACTATACGAAAAAACTATTAAAATAAAAGCACGGAAGTTCAGTGAACACGAAAAGTAATTCGAAAGCTTCAAGTAAGAGGTTTGCAGCTGAAGTACTTTACCGGAAATCCGTTCTTTACCGCAAGTTATTTCGGAATTACTGTTACAATAATCGCTTCTAAATAACCAAAAAATACCGAGGAAATGAAAGAAAAAATCATCATGGACATTAAAAGCTACTTTCATCTAATCGATTGATTCAGTAAATTCACTATTTCTTTTATTTCCTGGCAGCCCAATTACTTTACATATACATAGATGCTTGCCCATTTCAATACCGAAAATTCTATATTAAAAAATATGGTGTTGTTTAATTAATATCAAGTAGCATTTGCCGAAACTATGTTAGAAGTTTGACTGACAATATTAGGGAAATTATAGAATTAAAATTTGCCTAAATGTTAAAAATTATGTTTGATCCAGTGTGTTAAGCTAGTGATCTCAAACGTTATCTCGATGTCGACAAACGTGATCGACAAACGTTATTTCGACAAACAACCCTTTGTCAGTTACGTATATAAACAAGTTCAAGTCAAGGAGCGTTGCAACATCGGTTGTTTTGCAGTTTTGACTGTTAATTAATAAGTATTTTTCGCACTCATCGTTAAACTTAATCAATGCAAATGCATCTTAACAGAAAGCTTGTAAGTATATGCGGGTTAATTACCGCACTTTATTTATCGGATAACTTTACAGCGGCTAATTATCTTGGAACCCTAGAAAAAATTCGTGGATGCAGAAGCACACTTAATTAGTAGAAAGAATCTATTTAATCAGTGAAAATTTACTGGTACAAAATGTTTTAACTTCATTAATATTAATTCTTCTAGAGCATAATATATATTGCATAGCGCATAGCAATATGAGCAGAATGATGTATGCACTCAAAAAGCTCTCCATGCATGTAATCATGCAGCTTGCGGTGGTGACAGAAGGTATTTTTCGAAGGTTTCCCACGCTAAATTGGTAAGCATAATTTTCATTGAGAACAAATATCCATTCAGTTTACTTGTAAAACAATTCACAATCATCGCGCAATAGGGTTCCAGTCACGGAAATAAATCAGCCTTTATAAAATCCGTCTAAGCAAAATAGGACAAATTTTATTTAGTGCTAAGACTCGAGTATATACGAGTATTGAATGGTTCAAACTTAATTAACCGTATCGTAAGGTATAATTATAAATCAGTGATATCAAGAGCTATGGTCACAGAATCAACTATTTTTTTTAATTGAAGATTCCATTTTACCCAAGGCTGCCACAAGTTGTCCAGAAATTTTGCTCGTTTCATTATAACACAGTACATAATTGATCAAAGTTCTGAGTAAACAAGTCATTATGGCTGAAGTGAAGCAAGTATCAGTGGCCGATAAATTATATGATTCTATAGCTGACCTTAGCGACCGCATCATGAAACTTCCATTTGGCGCAGTGGTAAAAAAGAAATATGATCCAGTGCGTTACGCGGCGTCACAATACAAAGCGTACCTTGACAAGTTTGGGTACGCACGCCCAGCGGAAGACAAGGGCAAGAAGTTGCTCTTTCTCGGAATGAATCCTGGCGCCATAGCTGCGATTTCTGGAGTAGGTTCAAAGTTTATTTTAAAAAATTATTTTTTTTAAACTTTTTCAGGGTTGACTTCTTTCGCTGAATGCACAAGTAACATCATTCTCTAGTCGGATCAACATCGGTTCGAGGAGTCCATTTCGGGCAGGGGTCGGCTACATTTTTAGCTCGTCGACCCCTGGATAGGATATTTGCTTTTACGTCGACCCCATCCACGAACACACGCATGCAAGTCAATAAAAAATGGATCGTACCATTACTGACTGACATTATATTGATTATCAAAAATGAATAAAAATGTCAAAAATATATAAAACAAAGGAAGCTCAATGTAGTACCCTATTTAATGTATGAAAATGTATTTCAAGAGCAAGAGATTATCTTCACTGATATAATGTAAAAAGGAAGAGAAAAAACCTGTAAATAATTTTTCTGAATTTTTTTTTCGAACTATTAAAATATTTATCGTTGAAAAATGTATATGAATTTAATTATAAAAAACCAATGGGTAACTCAAATATAGGAAAAAATAACTTGGAAATATCTGCGCTGTTTGGTGTATAAACACAATGATGAAAAATGTTAAACTTACCCATTTATCGGTAGGGTAAAATGGGGCAGCGAGCCCACTGCGGGTCATGGGCCCATAGCGGGTTTCTCGCTAAGTATGGCAGATATTGGTCCGTGTTCTCTACCGCCGGTCGACAGTTTCACTGGGATGAAGTGTACGGATTAACGTTTTGCTAAGTGTTTGCGTTATTAAGTTATTTGTGAATAACTGTTTTAGCTCAGATAAATTTTTTTTGCTGCTAAATATTAGATGGTTTTCGGTTACTGTAGATGAAGTTTTTAAAATTACTGTGAATTATAGTTTGAAAGTAGTATTTATAGGGATAATTTTGAGATCAAGTTTAGACTATTAGCTTTTAAAATAAAATATTGACACGATATAAATTGAAATGATACCTAGTGGGGCAACGGGCCCACACGTGTCACGGGGCAAAGCGCCCATGGTGAAGTCTTGTGTTATACATCATTAGATTTGTCTCAATGACCTTTTAAAAACTATGACTAGCTATTTGAATTACAAATTACACTTCATGTTGCATGATTTTTTGATTTGCTGCCTCGAGGCAGCAGGTTTATAGTTTCTACTTCTGCGTATTTATGACCCCTTATCGAGTTATTGAATCTTGCCTTGCCAATAGTCGAATTCAGTCAACACCAATGAGCCAAAAGTTAAAGAATTTTCATGGTGTTGGCTGAAATAACGATTAGGTACGAATTCTCTGCACATAATATCTGGATTATGGACGAAACTGGAACGAAGTTTTTTCTGATCAATTAAATATATTTTTCTAGTCAAGGATACATTTTTTCATGTCAACGACTAATTTTTTATCGCAAGGATATATTTTTCAAATCAAGGATATATATTTTTATGTCAAGGAAATATTTTTCTTCACGTCAGTGACAGATTTTTTAAGCCAATAGTATATTTTTTTCAAGTTAAGGATATGATTTTTTGAGTTGTTAATAGATGAATGAATGTCACATTTCTTATTATATTTTTCTTATTTTTAACTGTAAAGTATTGTTTTATCATTTTTAAACGAAAAATTACGCAATTGTGGTAAAGGGACCAAGGGTGGGCGCCTTGCCCCAAGCCGCCCCTGGCCCCTTTTTACAAAATAGGGTTTCATTAAAAATTTAATAACTCTATAGGCGTCTAATTCACGTCATACATTCCCCATTAGTTGTACCTTTAAACAAAACAAAGAACCACCTCATAGCAATTAAAACTTCATCAAAAATTTAGTTTAAAAAAAGGGGGGGGGGCGCTGCCCCATGTTGCCCTACTAGATTTTATATTGATGACCTTCAAATGTCAATCGCCACGGTTTTCCGAGTTTAGTCTATTTCTCTGCTTTGTTATAACTATATGAGAAGGTTCTATGTTCAAACAACGCTTTACCTTTCAGATTTAAGCACATATCAACAGGTTCATCTTTTACGTCAGATACGCTACTTTTCTCGTCGATTTCATATCAAATAGAGTGACAAGCCATTCAGAAACGTGCATTCTTCCAAATCTTGGAAACATGTTTTGATGTCAACTCTTAATAGTCAGATGTTCATATTATCTCTACAAGTCACTGTCTACAAATCTCTTTTGACATTCGAAATTTTGAAGAATATTTGAAATCGTTATCTTCCAGTGAGCATATATATAGCGCAATTTTCGCTCGGAAGCCCTTAACAATTTTTCAAACTTGAAAGTTTGTCCAGTACTTGTGTTGAAGACGCTTTCGTACTTCGTTAAATTTGGGAATTATATCTGTCAAATAACACAAATGAATCTAATTCGTCGCATACTAATAGGTCTATTTTTCTGGTGAATCATATAATTTAAAGAAACCTCTGCAAACTATCGCCTCTCTGTAACCATCTCACTTCAGCAGACAGAGAGAATTAGTTGAAAGTTTCTTCCTTTTATTCATATAGTTTGCAAAAAGGCGTCAATTCATAGGATAAGCTAATAACCTATTGATCGATCCGATGCAAACTTTCATTGGTTCATTCATTTGGTTCATTCATGAAACTGCGGTTCAACTTATCCACGCGACAACATTTCTTCTCGCTTCGAGTCACTGACATGTGGAACAGCCTCCCTGAAGATATTGTTGACGCTCCGAGTATGAACGCGTTCAAGAACAGACTAGACAAGGCCATGCATGAGCATATGTTCAGTCTTAAAATGCCTCGTACCCTTGGGAATATATAAAGTAGGAACATATACAGTAGGCACATTTTGCAGTGGGAACATATACAATAGGAAGATATACAGTAGGAACAAAAACAGTAGGAATATTTGACAGTATTAATACGTACAGTAGGAGCATATAAAGTAGGAACATGTACAGTAGGAACATATACACTATTAACATGTACAGTAGGAGCATATAAAGTAGGAACATGTACAGTAGGAACATATACAGTATTAACATGTACAGTAGGAGTATATAAAGTAGGAACATGCACAGTAGGAACATATACAGTATTAACGTGCACAGTAGGGACATATGCAGTATTAAAATATACAGTAAGAACATATACAGTATTAACATGTAAAGTGGGAACATATACAGTAGGAACATTTTCCGTGAAAATGATAGAAAAACTTTTTTAAATCCCTACAGTTGCTGGGGCCTCGTTGATTGAAACCGCAATAATATCACAGAACGGAATTTTGTGCTTGTTGAATATTTATTCCAATTATTAAACACATCTATTACCTTTTAATTGTATCCCATATAATCAGCAAAGAGAAATTCGTAAACAGTATTATCCAGAGGTTATAAAAACTCGACCCCATGAGGATATTGAAGTTTCAAAAAGTTGATTCATCAAGTTGAATAGCAAATTGATAACATATCAGAGTTCTGAACTTTCAGTTTGTTCAACATCAAAGCTGGATCATTCCCTCGATGCGCCGTTATAGAGATCTTGCACTCAACGGTGTGGATTTTAAACTTGTTTAGAGTATTTTTTCATAAAATTTCCTATTCACTTTTATACTGAAGTTTTCAATTTATTCTATGGATTAAAAAATCAGACAAAATTGTTTATTTTCCACGGCAAAATATGTTAGTATGCGAGGTCTTGAAAAATCTTACCGATACTTTTTATTTTCATTGATCGATCTCCTTTAAATTCCTATAAATTTATTGATCCCTTGAGTTTTGTCTTCTACCTCCAGATGGCCGTTATATCGACCACGTTGCAATAGCTGCTCGATATTCTACGAATCTCCGGTCTTCTGACGTTTTCTCCAGCGCAATACTCGCAGTTTTCTTAAAGCCTGCTCGGACAATTTTTGAGTCTCTTACTGTCGTATCTAAGGGAGCAGGCGCTTGGCTCTCATGTTGTCGACAGTGGGCATCAGTTTTTCAGGTCCCGCACGCTCTGCTGCTGGGTGACAGTCAATGGAAGCTCCGTGAACATGATCTATTTTATTCGGTCGCCAGGAACAAGCCCTGTCAACTGTGTATTTACTAATCTCTGCGTCTAAAAATCTTACCACCGTCTAAAGTGGTGACTGCCTTGAACCAGCCCCAGTGCCTCGACCGCCAAGCACAGTGTCCCAATAAGGTATTCTCCCTGCGGCTGCAGCGGTGGTTGCAGAGAACCAGCCTCTGCCCTTCGACGACTGAGCGCAGCTTCTTGTAATTTTTTCCGTTGTGACCGGTGTGTCAATCGCCGCAGACAAGCCCCGGCCTTTTGAGTACCAATGGCCACGTGATGACCTCTTATATTCTTCTATTCTAGTTTAATTCTCGTCAAATGCGGTTCATGTAATTTTGGGGAACTACTGATGTTGCTATTAATTGAACGATTTCAGGATTATGTGCATGATATAACTTTATTGCTGGACCCTGTCTTATCTTATACCGGTTCTATTAATGATATAATGGCGTGAACAATGATATTCCTTATTGTCAATATGAAATAAGCAGCCTGTGAACTATTTTTCGCTTAATGGTCATTGCAGAATTCGTTAGTCTTGATAGCTATCTAGGTAACGTGTCCCGAGCTTTCCTTAACCAACGTTACCGATGACCCGGCTAGTTGCGACGTTATCGACCACGTTGCGAGCTAAAATTTGCGCTTGGTACTACAACAACTGAGGCTGCCTATGTAAAGAAACTCGTAGATGACTTCTTCATAGACAACTATTTATTTTCTGCGAAGAATGTCTTCTCTGCATTTTTTTCTATTTGGATCACCATTCCGTTGAAACGGACCCCAGTCGGCCTGGCAGCCGTCTGGCACTTCAGAGTTGGAACCCCATTAGCGGTCAAGATTCGAGGCGGCATTACTACATATAATTAAAACCCACTCTATATGCTACACTTTAAAAATATTTCCAAACCAAAATAAATTCGGTCTTAATTTTTTTCATAACGAGACAGACCTATTTTGAGCATTTCATTTCCAATACAGGGTTTCCATGCCACGGCGTGCCCACAAACGGCCGTTAGTTCGGTTGCCTGTTTCAGATTGACTTCTCACAACTTCAACGTATGACTCCTCAAATGGCTTTCTTGTAATTAATAATATAATATTGTGTATCGTAATAAATATATGCTCTTCATTCACACTGCCCTAGTAATGATAACAAATGTCAAGCTTAGTATTATGAAGCCTGGAGAAGTTTTATTTTACACATAGACTCTTTTGTTTTTTACTCACTTCAGGTTATTGTGCAGGTCCCGTTTGGTGAAGAAGAGTTTGTACAGAAAGAACTTGGGATTGTCTGCTCTGATGTTGGACGTCCTGCTGAAGCAGACCCTGATAAAAAAAAGGATTTGAAACCAAAAGCTACTAGCAAGGTAAGGTTGATATCAAGCCAACTTTGTAAAAATAACTATACGCTGTGTGCGAATGCGCTGGATAAATTTCAAGTTTAAAAAAGCGGAAGGAAGTGAAGCACTTATGACAATTACAATTAGCCGTTGAGAAAGTGACGCACTTCTCTCGGTAAAATTTGAGAACGGAATAAAGCTAAAATTATTTAATTATTTAAAATTATTTAAGTCACTAATTTGTTCTTATACTAACTCACTTTAAATCGCTCTCCAGTAGCGATTTAAAGTATAAGCGCTCTCCAGTAGCGATTTAGTCTGTTCTGTGATAAACTCAATTTCTTTGTGAAAAGTTCGAAGTTGTAGTCCTACATCTTATTGAAGGCTAGAGATCGATGTCATGAAGACTACGTGAGCAAATTATCTCTGTATAATTTTTTTCATTACTCAGTGACTGATTTCAGGAAAGCGCCCGACTGTGGGAGCTGCTGCTGGAGCTCTTCAACATACTCATGACCAACCCGTCGCTGACAGTACACATTGCCCACCAGCGAAAAAACCGCTTAACTGAACAAAATCATCAACTAAAATTACAGAGAGAAAATTTTATAACCACAAAATACATATGTACATAAAAATCTAAGGCGGAGAAAAGTTACAAAATCCCAATTATATTTTAGTGTAGCGTGCGACGAAGCATAAGTTACAGTAATACAATCAAAAATTTTCTATCTATAGCCTGCGACGCTATTAACAGACAAAGGGGCAAAAATTGGGTTCCTCTTAGTACTTTTCGCTATTTCATATTTAAACGTGATTAGCTTTACAGAACTAATCAGCTTGTTTAACTTTTCTCTCCGTAAGATGTGTATGATAAAGCATATACATCTTAAATGGATAATTAGCATGTAACTAATAGAGACGATTGTAGTAAGTGGAGATTCATGTATTCGACACAAAAATAGATTCCCAAGAAGGACCGTGTGGCGGACTGTCCTCTGCAGACGGAGTGTGACAAGACTCTGCTCAAGGTCGTCGAGCTGCTCGGAGTGACGGACATCGTCGCTGTCGGCACCTACGCCGAGCGGGCCGCGGAGCGCGCCGTGAAGCGTTCCGAGAAGCCCACTGTCAATGAGGTTGAGGTGACTGAATTCCGTCTGAAATTTTTAACGCCTTCTCTGATGGGTGAATTGTTTAAATAAGAAGCGAAGCCTTAATTTTGACAATAAGGCTCATGCTTTAGAGCTTAGAAAATTATTCGGAGTCTGTTAGCTCTCAATTTAACTGGTCAAGTTTCGTTAAAATCTTCTCGAAAAGAATGTGAACTTTCATATATAAGTTTTTAACTCACCCTGTATCGTTCTCATAATTATTCCCATTCTTCCTAATAATTTTGTTCTTCATTATTATAACATTATTGTAAATGTCTATTCCTACTTTCAGTTGTGCAAATCCCAAATCGGTGTAAAGGATTTGTTGGACAATAAAATTTTTGGAACAACTTTAAGATATATGAATTATAACATGTCTGCAAAATTACGTTTTAAGCATTCTGAGAGGTCGCATTTACGATCCAGTTCATTCACTTTAATATTTTATATTTAATAATAAAAATATTATTATTTTTATTTATTTTATTTAATCTTCATATATACCATCAAGGTCCATTATCTGGTACACCCGAGCCCACGTAATTTCAACTTTGCTGGCGAGAAATGGAAAATAAGAGCAGAGGACACCCTTGCAGAGGCCGGCCTATTGGCGTGTTTTCCACCCAGAAGAAGTGGTGAGTCAGTAGAAGTCGTTACATCAAAGGCACACTTGCCAGACGATGAGAGACAACGAATTATAATAATGTAACAACTAATGCTCAAACTACGAAACAAAACCACGTGCCGGTACTTTTTACTCGCTTCTATGTAGGATTGTATTACTGCAATTATAAGCAACTTTAAATTTTTTCATTTCAAGTTTTGCAATTGAAATTTTGATAATAATGTGTCAACGAGATGAGTAAAATTCTCCTATACTATTAAAAATCTCCTTCTACCCAATGCTGTTAAGCTGAGTCGAAATTTTCACGCTGAAAGTCTATACATCATTCTTAAGTTATAGGGCTATAATTAATCAATACAGAAAAATGCCGTAAATTTGCACTTTTTCTTAAACGAACGCATTTTCATGGAAGATTGTTGTCCGATCACCCGAATTCACTTTTTTTGGCGTAATTAAGAAAGTTTTACGGGAAATCTTATACCTTGATACTAGCTTTGCTGGTAAAAAAAGCCAGCTTTGAAATTGATGCCCGTTAGTATTTTAAGGAAATTTAGCATTTCATGAAATTCGGCAAACAGATATTTTTTCCAATACTTTGTTTACCATCGAATGATCATTAACATATTCTCCAATAACCGCATCGCTTAAAATAACCCAACTGACTTCTGCGCTGTTGAAGGCATGTAAGTACAAGGAAGATAACAAATGTTATACGATGCACTATTAATTCATGAATTCGTTCTTTGCTAATTTTCCCTGCAATTTTCATCCAGACCTGGCAGACAAACTTAGGCAGGACATGACCAAATTGCCACAGGACGTGTATGAAGTGGTCAGGTGTCAGCAGCAAATTAAAGACATGCTGACGATGTTGGTTCAGTCCAAAGGTGCTCCAAACCAAGAATCTGAGACGGTGTACCTCGCCCTGCCTGTCGAAAAATGGGAAGAGCTAGTGGAGCTGCAAAAGGTCAGCACTGTCCACAGTCTGCAGACAAGCCAGGTCACAGAAGCATTCATGCCGGCATTAATCTTATTTTGAAGCTCTGATTTTCTGTCTCTCTTATGCATTATTTCCATTGATATTGCAATATTTACTTCTATTTAAAACAAGAAGGTGTTATTTTAATACAGATTATTTGATAAATTATAAAATTCTTTTGCGCCATACGTATTTCCATCAAAATAACTACCGCGTAACAATTATTTTTGAGAAGTGTAATGTATGAGGTTACGGGCGAGAAGGTTGGTAACAACACGGCCGCACGGAACAGGCAGTATTGGAACCACAAAATGAACTCCAAAAAAGAACGAAGCTAATACATGGAGCACAACTTCTAAAACGGGCTTCTTCTTCGTGGCTAGTTATTAAGCAAGCATACAGGAATCCTGTTATGCTACAAGAGGAATATTTCGTTTGAAGGAATTTTTTTGCCATGGTTTTTCCTCTTTTTGATTTTTCTCTTTTTTGATAAATCGATTCGGAATCTGTGTTTGACCAAAATATTTTAAATTAACGATGTCAAATCATTTTTTAGCCGTGCTTTGCTTTTTACTGCTGCAGTGCAACAGCTGAGTCATAAAAGATCTCGCTTAAAAATTTTCAGGGATGACGTTGCGCGCAAAATTTTTTAGATTAGTTGTGAATAACTGAAATAAGTTAACGATCTGTGTTTTAATTTTGACCGGTTACTTTTTCCCCAGGAGCTGTCGAATATTACCCTAGCATCCCGGACACAGGAACAATACACGAACGCAGCTTTTCAGCAAATTGAGGAGGGGGTAAAAGAAGGAGGAGTTAAGAAGGAAGAACAGAGCAATGATAGTGAAGAGAAGAAGCAGGAGGAAGATGATATCAAAAAGAAAGGAACGATAGAGAAGGAAAAACAAGAACGCATACATTTGTGTGAGTGGGAATGTCAGAAAGGGCATGAGTACGCCCTGGATGCAAATGAAGCACGACTGGACAGGAATGACTTTGTATGTAGATATGAGGGGTGTGGGAAGGTCTGCAAAAGTAAAGCGGGCCTTACCAATCACCAGAAGGCATGCAAATATAGAGTGGCTGAGGAGTAGGTGAGGTTTGAGTGTAGCAAATGTGGTATGAGACAAAGGGTGCAAAAGTGAATCATGAGAGGACGTGTACGGGTGGAGCGAGTGGAGTGGCAGACAGGAGGAAGTGTGGGAGGTGCAATACTTGGATAACGAAGAAAAATTACGCGAGGCATGTGAGAGGATGTGTTGGGGGACGAGACGTTGGCGCGGGTGTGGGGGGAGGGGGGGGAGGAGCCGGCGAGAGTCGGGATGGGGAGGGTGAGGGTCGGGATGGGGGAGGCGTGTGAGGGAGGGCGCTAGGGGACGAGACGTTGGCGCGGGTGTGGGGGGAGGGGGGAGGACCCTGTAAGAGCCAGGAGGGGGAGGGTCGCTTCGTGTCCGGGGTGCAACAGGGTGCTATCGGCCGCCAGCATGGCGAGGCACCAGAATTAAGGCGTGCCTGGTGTGGGACTCTGGTGGGGAGGGGCAAGTCCCTGACCGGGATCGACGGCCAAAAAATAGAAAATGGAATTGATAAAGAAGAAAAAAACAAGGAAAGAAGAAGGAAACCCAAATGCGAAAAATTAGAGTTACGAGTAATGGGTGAGAAAGTGAAAAGAAAAGTCCAAAAACAGAGTAAGGAAAGGGAAGAGGAAACAATTAAGGGAAGTTATATTGTAGAGAGTGGAAGACGCAGGAGAGAAAGAAAATGCAAAGAGAGGAATGCGAGGGACTAACAGAGGATAATGATAGCGTAGCAACATTAATGATACCTTTATGATTTTGATTGGAAACGAAATTTGAAGTTTTTTAGTAATTTGTAGCGTATATTTCTGGATTTTCATTTTGCAACATTTTATTTCGACCTAACCGTGAATCACTAATCGCCTATGGTGAAACAATTAAAAATTTCATTTCCGAAATATTGTTGGACTTTGACGCGTTCCATTATTAAATTATTTAAAGTGTAAAACTAAACTGGTGTAAAAAATTATTTCTTTCATGTTTCACCATTTATAGCGACTTGAGCGGTGTTCATCTGTGTTATGTGTATTGTATAAAGCTGAATTTGGCCGGCATGTCATGTGTTTTTTGCAATTTTTCGTAAAATTGCTGGATAATTTGGGTAATAATTTTTGAAGAAATGTATAGCATACATTTTAAGATGTGTCCACCATCATTTTTTAGTTTTCTTTGATAGATCACCAATAGAAGCCTTACAGTAAAGTGTTATTAAATGCATTCAATGTGGTTATCTTAAATGCACACATTGCTCTTATCGAAGACTCATTTTCAAACTTAACATATGCACCGCTGGAAATGTTGAACATTTTTTCATTAATCTCGTGTATATATGTATTTATGTCAACATTTTTGTGTGGGCACTTGAAGCCTGACGCAATACAGTTAGCGACGAAATTATTCGCGCACCCCTTACTTCTCAATGTTTTCTTGAATATCTCGAAAATTAATGAATGTATGAGCTTTAGATTTGGTTGAACTAAGCAATATGTAATAAGGAAAATAGCACTACATGTTCAATAGAAAATGTAATTTTAAAACGTTTTAACATGCAGAAATTCCCCAACACCTTCAGACACAATTATACGTACAGTTGGAAAATACTAACTCAGTTGCAATAATAATAATCAACGGCATCTCCTTTCAACTTGATGACCTCTTGCTGTCTCTTTATATAGTTTAATTTTAGATTAAATTAACCACCCAGAATCACCATATATCTTAAACATTTAGCCTCGCAACTTAGCATTTTGCTTAAGATGACTTCATTCTTTCAAAATTTTATCTGTGGATCAGGTCTCGAAAGTATCAACACGTTGCCAGATGTTATTGTATAGGTTAATTAGTTTGTAATTCAATATCTAAGTTCAAACTAGTTAGGATATAGAGTTCCGATGCCTTGTGATTGTATAATTACTTAAGTTACATTTATAAAAGTTGTAGTATTTTTAGAGTGACACTCTGACCATGAAGATGACAATATAGAAGATGAAGATGACATTCATCACAAACACGCATTCATTGTTCGCATTCATTACTAACACGCATTCATTGTTCGCATTCATTACTAACACGCATTCATTGTTCGCATTCATTACTAACACGCATTCGTTGTTCGCATTCATTACTAACACGCATTCATTGTTCGCATTCATTACTAACACGCATTCATTGTTCAATGACCGTCGAGATCAGTCGTGTCATTGCTGTGTCGAGGTGCTGTGGATTTCCAAGTGCAGATCCATGGATTGAGTTCATTTGTGTACATATGGATACTATGTTTATTAAGTGTTATATTTATTGTGAACCTGAAAAAACACATTCTAAATAATTTTTGTAAGAATTGTCGAATTGTCGCTCGACAAATTGTAAGAAGTCGAGTAAGCTTGTAAGAATTATCTTGCTGAAGTTCCAGGCATGATAATTAATATAATAATCAAGGCAAGATAACTGTGCTGTTCGTAAGGCAAATCAAACAAATCCTGCCAATGACTTTCGTGAGCCCCAAAAGACATTGCATTCTGGAAGCCGTATATAAGAGAAGTTGACTGTTCCTTTGAAAGCAAAGTCTGGTCTTGAGCACATGCTTCTCTGTTCATTTCGATAGGAAACTACCTGAAAGGAATTGGAATTCAACCTGGAAGGTAAAATTTGCGCGTGTAGAGCGCAATGCCCTAATTGTTTGGAAAATTAGAACCCATTTTAATTCAGGATAACATTTTTAAAAATGGTACAGCATAGTGGCAAGCCAGAGATTTTTTTAGAATCAGTTCATTTTTAATTTTCTTATTTACTCAAGATTTAAACCAATATCTTATGTATGATAATGCTGCTATCCATGATACTTTGCTTGTCTACTTCTAGGACTCAAAATTGAACTTGACAAAGTCTAAAAAAACTCGCTGCAATTGCCAGTTGCCATCATGTCCGTTTCATTTTCTTAAGCCTAATCAAACTAGGTCTATATTTTAATTTCACTTTGAAAACCATTGGTGATAACAAGATGAAAATCTAATAACTACTTTTTTCACCTATAATGTGATAGGTGATATGTACCTGTTGATGCATTACCCATAGTCCCATACTGCATTCCATATCCGGGGCTTTTAAAAAGAAGCTCTATCTATAAAAAAATGCAACTCCACAAACTTATTCAAACAGAATGTCAGATTTTTAGACAAAATAACAGAAACCTGATTACTAAGGACAATGGTCATATTCTTTCAGAGATTGCAAAATCCCAATTAGTCCCTGATTACACAAATACAACTAATTGCAAGTCAAGCATGAAATTTTATCCACCACCCACGGCCACTATGACTGGCATTTGCAAGCTTCATTATTAACAAAATAAAGACCTTAAAATACATCTAATTCATTAACCTGGCTTCACGAACTTTGAGAACAACTTTTTTCTGGAAATGAATAAGTTTCACAACTTGCAAACCTAGCAGGGTCATTTTGGCAGAATTTCGGACACAATCCAGCCTATCAACAAGTAAACAAGAACTCTGCGCCGACATATAGAAGCAGTGTTGCAACTGAAGAGAAATAAAATGTTTGATAAAAGTTTCGACAAAATGTTTGATAATAGTTTAGACCAAACTTTATTTCATATGGTATATTCTGTATTTACTATGCAACTGCAATACTATGCAATACTGTGGTAATACCGCATTAGATGCTTATACATATGTACCAATTAACGGAATAAACGATATGTCTCATTGCGAACGCCATAAATCGAACGATTTTATATAAATTTGAATCAAAATTTTAAAATTTCATTTTAGCGCATTTTCTCATTTATGGAAAAAATGCACTATTGTGCTCGCCATGTCCGTCTGTCCGTCCGTCCGTGACCACAAGTTTTCGTCGACGAGAAAATGCGCTCTCTGTCACTCACTGCAGTGAGTACTGAGTTATATTTTTTTAGTTTATAACCGTGGCACCTGATGTTGGTTCTTGTTTCAAATTCTAGTAATCTTCCTGGGATCTTGTATAGACCCTGAGTAAACTTGTTTACTTCAATGAGATCATCGCACAGACGTCAATAACAGAGACTTGGAAGCTTCATAATCTAAAATATTTCTTCATGAGATTTGCCTTTTAAGCCTGGAATTTTCCTTGTTGTACGTTTTTGAACACTTTGGACTAAATTTTTGTGCCTTGGAAGCACCGGTGTCAACACGGCGTTTCTCAACTCTCTGCTCAGGCGCACGAAAGGGACAAATGAAATTGCACATGGCATATGAAAAAATTATATCAATTGTTTCATCGGTCTAATATTTAAGAATGAAAAGCTGCCAAAACATGATCAAAACGTGAGGACGTTTGGGGACGACTTGAATAATAACCCGTTTCATCACATTATGAAGTTAATCATTATGTTAATTATGAAGTTAATCATATATAGCGGTTTCAGCGTTTAGTAGCCCGTAGGCCTGTCGCCGATTCCTAACATCGCAGAATATCCACAGCTTGTTGCGGTCTCGACCTCGCAACGCACTGCTACAATTCTGCTGTGTTTAACCGCCCGGCCACCTTGCCGATTCTGACAAGAAACTTGCGCCCAGAGCTGGGATCGAACCCGCGCCTCTCTGCGCCGATCCTGGTACTCTGAACTGTAACCACTAGCTGGGCCACCCTGCCCTAATATCTCTCATGTCTCAATGATATATATAAGTGAATTGCCAAGATTCAAATGATAGGTCCAACAAGTTCCTGTGTGTAACGTATGTAGCGTTGATGTAATTCTTTATTCACTCATCTATACAGGAGAAAAGGATCATATGTCCTTATGTTCATTTAACTAAGTTTCTTTGCAACCGAGAACCAAAATTTTTTAACCTAAGGATCACATAACCTAAATATTGAACGAGTATTTAAAGCATCAGTCGAAACTGGTCGAGTTTCTTGCTGGTCGCGAACAATATTTCGAAAATCTGTCAAGTCGACATCTCGGATAATTTTTTTTAAAGGAAAGGTCAACTGGTGAGATTACGACAGTTAAGTAATCATGTTCGAACTGATGTAGATGCCATTAAAAGACCGCATACTAGATCAGGACATTGATATGAAATGTATCTATAGTAACAGATCAGCTTGCATGGGAGCGTGTTCCCTAAGATAGGAAAATCGAATTACAATTTAGATTCAATAAATTTTATTTGCGTGAAATCAAAGAGACATGTTTGGGTTTCTAACCCAGCCGAACCAATACAGAATGAAAAGATGCAGATGATTGTTAAAAATCATATCCTGATGCTGGTTTTTCATGTCATTTGGCAGCCAAACTGTGTCATCGCTGCTTGACAGGCGAAAGTTTACTATCTCCTCATAATTCCTCAATCCCAATGATTTTACACGAGGGTCAACCCTTTTATGTTAACTCGATTTGGACTGCACTTCACACGTCAGTTGTGCTCTGTTCGTCATTGTGTTCAGAAAAAAATATTGTTTTCATCGACACTCAGAGAAATGAGCGAGAATAATCCATATTACGATGTACTTTTAGTCCTTGTGTGGGTCATCCTGAACCAGTTAGGCCCGGCATAATAAAGACGTCTCGCTACTGCGTGCAGAAAGTGTGTCACTATTTGAACACTATTGCCCACTAATTTTTCTGAGCGCCGTTTAGGGGAGGGGGGTTTATTATATATATTAAAAATTTATATTGAATTTATTAATTAAAATTCTTCAATCATTCACTGTCATTTCTTGTTATTCTAAATATTTTATCTCTGATTGGGACACGTCATTTACTTGACATCATCTGAGTTTTATAACGAATGAGATTAAGTATAATGCAGATGGCATAAAGTTCTCATTGATTAATTTGTTTTCTTTCGGCCAATTTACCTGATGAAGTAAATATAATAACGAAGAATATATCATGAAGCGCTATCGATATTATCTATCTAGTGAGGGTATTAGTGATTTCTTTTATGCCTCAAACTGTGCTAAAAAAAATTACCAATTCCATTCTCACGCTCTGATGGCTCTGATAGTCCGCCCCTCCTGCAACCTTTGAATCGTCTTGGTTAAGTTGTAAATGAGATTTTTATGGTATTTACATATAAGTAATACATATACATTATATGCTATATTATTACATTTCGGCCTGCAACATTTGTATCTAGAGAATTAAATTCTCGCATACCACAAGTGGTAATCCCAGCGCTGTGTGGTAATCTCCGTGATGATGAACGGATGTGTACAACAATGCAGAGGACCTCCAGTGTGACTAAATGCTGTGAGTGAATTATGTCACTAACGCGCATAACGGTCGATATAATTGCTGATTATGTCACTAACGCGCTTAACATTCAATAAATGTTGTTTATGTCACTAACGCGCATAACGGTGGATAATTGCTGTTTATGTCACTAACGCGCATAACGGCCAATAATTGCTGTTTATGTCACTAACGCGCATAACGGTGGATAATTGCTGTTTATGTCACTAACGCGCATAACGGTGGATAATTGCTGATTATGTCACTAACACGCATAACGGTGGATAATTGCTGTTTATGTCACTAACGCGCATAACGGTGGATAATTGCTATTTATGTCACTAACGCGCATAACGGTCAATAATTGCTGATTATGTCACTAACGCGCAAAACTGACAATATTTGTTAATTCTGTCACCAACGCACATAACTAACAACATTTATAATTATGTACTCGACGCTTATAACTGACAATATTTGTTAATTATGTCATTAACACCAAGAATCAAACATTTTTGTCAATTATGTCACCAACGCCTATAACTGGCGATGATTGTTCATTTCAATGTCACCCTATTAACATAAATTGTTTAGCGTATAAACAAAGGATCGAGCAGTTTGCTTTGCGTCAGTGAATGGGTGCAAGGTTAACTGTGGTTAACATTGCACCCCTGTAATGAGCCTTCCTACTCATAACAGATTCCGAGTCCCGACAATGTTTGCATGTTTAATAATACAAGCAACAAATAAAATCATAATAAATGTTTCTTGAGACCATCGCTGGGCTTGGTAGGATACTGCTTACCAAAATGCAAATTTCTCTGCGAACTGTGCAAAGAAAAGAACTAAAACATCAGCATTTTCGATAGTAGGGCCGCTTATGTTGCAACGTAGTAAGTGCTGCACAGTTCCAAGGTCAAAGTAATTGCCTCAAATAGGGAAATTTGATTGAAGGCAGGGAATAAAATTAAAGATCTGAAGCAATGGCTAGCTTGGTCAAGTTTAAACTGAGACTCAATTTATTGTCAAGAAGTTGAGATATTGGTTTTCAGAATTCACCATGGTTCAAATTCCACTAAAGCCCTCTTAGCGAAATAAGAAAATCGCAACTGCTTTCTGTATTCCTCAATGTAGCGATGTTTTGAAGTGAAATAATTTGAGGCTTTTAAGTCTACCAAAACATGTTGGGCTTTCTTCAATTATTGTTATTGTGAGTCGTCTGAAATGTATATTGATATTTTATTACGAATCATACGTTAAAACTCGACCATAATGACTACGTACTTCGAGTAATTGTCAACTACTGCTAAATTGGTGCCTTTCTGTCTCCATGTCAACTTTTATATTCACTCAAAGCTACCTCAAAATTGAATTTGGAAATCAGCCATAACCATAGCGATGTGCAGATCTTTTTAAATTTTATGATAGCTAAGAATTAGACTAGTGTTTCTTTGTTATTGTTCTTGTACCTGTCAAATGCTTCGTCATATAAAATAAAGTATCTGAAATTTTATCAGCGTAGAGAGCATGTGCGGCTTTAGCAACATATAAAGAATAAAGTATTATGATTCGTATTTTGGGTATGAATACCATGAACCTTAAGTGTCTGGATGGATATATAAATAATGAAAGAACGTGTTTAAGCACTGACTTTGAATTTTACTCCGACACTTTATTAATTTCCTCACGAGCCTTAGTTTTACCCTGAACGAGGGTGTATGTTTTACCCTGGTGCGCTTGTCGGTTGGTCGGCTTGCAGCGCTGGCGCTGCGTGCACCGCGACCAAGCATCCGTTCCTCAGTGACGTCTGAACAAGTTCGAGCTACGGTGTGTGCGACATTCGTTGTTATGCAGTTTTATCTGATATGTATTTTACACTCATTGTTGAACTTGATGAATGTGAAAGGCATCTTAACATAAATCTTTTGAATTATGCGGGTTGCTTAATATAATTCATAATCATCGTGTTATAATTATTCGTTATCATAATCACAATAATTCGTATTCATTATATTTAATAATAAAAATTCGAAATCATTGCGTTACAGGCTCACTGTCACGGATATAAATAAATGAGCCGCCCAATTAAATCCTTCTACGCAAAATATGATCAATCTTATTTAGTGCAATTTATATTAAAGAGTTCAGAGCTAAATGTCACATAAGGAGTGAAAGTAATTATAGTAATGATATCAAGAACGGTTACAGAATCAGCTGGTTATTTAAATTAAGACTATATTTTATTCAACGTTGCCACTAGTTCTCTAATTTCGCTAGTCTCATAATAATTCAAGTCTCAAAGTTAACAAGTCATTATGGCTGAAGCGAATCAAATATCTGTAGCCGATGATTTGTCAAAAGAAATAACTGATCTTGGCCAAAAAATCAAAGATCTTCCATTTGGCGCAAGGGTAAAGAAGAAATACTATCCAGTGCGTTCCGCGGAGGAACTGACGTGTTCCGCGGAGGAACTGGACACGCCATACTTGATATCCAGAGAGTACCTTGACAAGTTCGGCTATGCAGGTCCAGCGAAAGACTCGGGGAAGAAGCTCCTCTTTCTCGGAATGAATCCTGGCGCTGGAGCCGTGGAGACTGGAGTACGTTCACAGTTTATTTGGGAAAATTCATTTTGTAAGCCTTTTCAGGGTTGACTTTTTTCGTTGAATGTAAGTGTGACCGTTGAATGCAAGTCGGATCTACCTCGGTCCGAAGAGTCCGTTTAAGGTAGGGGTGGGCTACATTTCTAGGGGTCGACTTTTGAGAGGGTATTTGCGTCGGCCCCCTCCACGTATACACACAGTAAAGTCACTAAAAAAATAAATCACACCATTACTGCATGATTCTTGATAGTCGAAAATGAAGAAAGATTTCATAATGATATAAGCCAAACGAAGCTTAAGTTGTACCCTGTTTATTGTTCAGAATTGTTTCTAATACAAAAGGACATTCTTAACTGATAAAAGATAAGAACAAATCTGTAAAGAAATTCATTGAAATTCATTTCGAATTATCAACAAATTTATCGTTGAAATTTTTTAATGAATTTTTATTAAACCAATGTGCAACTCAAAAATAATGATACGTTACATGGAAATATCCGATTTGTTTTGTGTAAAAACAGAATGAGAAATAAAAAACTTACCGATCTATCGCTATACTGGATATGAATGAGATGGCTGGTAATGTCGAGCGTCAGCATGACGAATATTAAAATTATGAGATATTCAAATTACCAGTCGTGTGACCTCAAAAGTTAGGATGGACCTCTTGTCACGCCTACTAATGACCGGAAACTGTAAGACACATCCCTGTTGGCATAAACGCCAATGATAAGCTAAAGTTAATATATTCAAGGTACACTGCAAATTATTGAAGTAACAAATCGAATACTCTGAAACAAATACTTGCAAACCGGACGCGAGAAATAGCTGTGACAATTTTAATGCGTAAAGAGAACTAGAGCTACAAGCTACAGCGCATGATTCTAAAAACAAGGAGTAAATACCCTAGTATGACAAATCAATTATATATTCACTAATATAAAGGCATTTCACAATGCATTCAAGTTTCAACACTATCGCACGCAATAACATACCCTGGCGTTTTAATTAAATTATTATTAATGTAAATTATGGAACCTGTAAACCAGTCGGGATCAGCAGCTTAACTGAGAACTGACCGCTATTTTAGAGATCGAACGCTCATGTTAAAGCTCGTCACGCTTGATCTTAGCGATCTAACTGCAAGTAGTAGTAGTAGGAGAAGTAAAATTTTCAGCCTACTATATATTACAATCAGCAAGGCTATTGACATTACATTAACTATTAGAGGGCTTCAAATAACAATCACCAGGCTTTTCCAAGTTAAGTCTATTTCACTGCCCTGTTAGAATCATATATTTCGCATTATTAAAACCGTTTCAACTATTTCTGAAGTTGGGAAGGCAAGCAAACAAAGCTTCTGCTCCTGCTTTGAGCTTTCGATTTTTAGTGGCAGTACTGGCACGGGTCTAATATTCAGGGAGTGTTTTATGTTCAAACAATGCTTCAGCTTTCAGATTTACCGTCATTTCTACAAGTTCATCTTTTACGTCAGATACGTTACTTTCCTTGCTCGATTTCATGTGGAATGTAGTGAAAAGCCAATCGAAGAAGTGCAGTCCTATAAATCGTCAAATAATGGAGATATGTTTTGAAATCCATACTTGACATATTCAAATGTTCATTTTATTTCTATAATTCAGTGTCTGAAAAGCTCTCAGACTCCGTCAGCATACGCAATTTAGAAAAATATTTGAAATCGTTATCTTCCAGTGAACATTTAAATACTGTGATCAATTTTGATCTGGAATGGAAACCAGAGGTCGTAGTTGACCCGTGGTTGTTCATGCTTTATTGCTTATTAAAGTTTTCCCTTGAAGACGTTTTCGTAATTAATTTGTTCTTTGAATGTCAAATTCAAAAATTTATGTCTCTAATTGGTTGCATACTGGTAGATCTATATTACTGGTGAATCATATAATTCAACAAGCCTTTGCAAGCCATCACTAATTTATAACTACCTCACTTTAATGGGCCCATGCAATTAGTTGAAAGCTTCGCTGCAATATGATGTCTGCGTCAAATTCAGTAAACAACATATATAGTCTGAGCATTTTCAATGAAAAATACATGATAAATTTATCTAAAGGCCTACCCTAGCTGGATGCCGTCGGTGGAAACCGCAGAACAGAATTTTGGGTTTGTTCAAATAATCATTCTAACCATTAAAAAATCGTTTACCTTTTGAATTTTATATCTCATAATACGAGAAGAGAATTAAAATTATTATTCAGAGGTTATAAAACCTCACAGCTCATGAGGATATTTGAACTTCCAAAAGTTGATTCTTCAAGTTTAATAGCAAATTTATTATATATGAGTTCCGAGCAAACAGTTTGTTCAACATCAAAGTTCGTTTCCTCGATGCGCTGTTGCACAGATCATACACTTGATTAATGGTATTGTAACTTGTTTATAGTATTTTTCTAAAATTTTTTATTCACATTCATACAGAATTTTTTAGTTTTATTTTATGGATCAAAGTTTGCCAAATTGAACATTTTCCAAAACAAAATACGTTTGAATGCAAGGTCTGTAAAACCTAACCGATTCTCTTACATTTTCCTTGATTGATCCCGTTTTGACCCCTTTCAGTTTATCATCCCCTTGAGTTCTGTCCTTGACCACCAGGTGGTCGATACATCAACCACGTTGCCGATGATGCGGCTTGTTGTGACATTATCGACCACGTGGCGACTAAGTAGAATATGCGCTAGCTATACGACAACAGCTGTGGCTGCCGAAGTAAAGAAACTCGTAGATGATTTCTTCAGAGACAATAATACATGTTCAGCGTAAAATATGTTCTCTGCTGTTATCCAATTTGGATCATCATTCAGTTGCAACGGACTCATGCAGCCTGGCAACCGCCTGACGATGCTTTTTCTAATTTCATCCGGGGTCCGGAGCCATAGGCCCCAAATTCAACAGTTAAACTAGCTCTGTAACCAACGCTCAGCATAAACATACACTGCTAACTTAGCTTCATAGCTATGATGCCGCAGACCACGATAGAAACGCCACATGTCACACCAGTTAAGACGCGGCTTAAAGCCACAGCGCCGTTATATCCGCAGCCACTGTTCCAGCCAGCATAGTCTTCACGGAGGCTACACCCCGGCACACACCTACTTTTTTTTTACCAACCCCGCCTCCCTACCTTATTGCAGCCAATTACCGGCTCCAGGCTTCTTTTCCCGCTTCTCCACCTTAAGGCTAGGTTATTTCCCGAAAAGGTTTGTTTGGCTGGGGTGTCTTGGTAAGTGAGGAGGTAGGTGCATGCTGTGGTGTTGACTTTAATAAAGACAGAACTTGACTGAACATTGGCTGCAAGCTTACGGCGCCTATGGCTTTTACCACCTCACTCCATAGGCTATTCAGCTAAGTAGCACGTTTGCGCTCTGGAAGGAATATTAAAGTGACGATGGTATTGAGCAATGCTAGGTCTCTAAGATGCATACCCTCATCCGCACTTCAGAGTTGGAACCTCACTAACGCTCAAGATTCGTGGCAGCATCACTTACTTCCTTACTTACTTCCTAATAAGAACCCTCACAATGTGCTAGACTACACCAATATTTCCAACCCGTATTTAATGTTCTTTAAATCTAGACTGGCCTATTTTAAGTATTGCTTTTCCGATACAGAGCTTCCGCATGAGTTTCCATTCCTCGGCGTGCCCACATACGGTCCTCTGTAAGTTTCCGGTTTCCAATTGACATCTCACAACTACACTCAACGTATAACTCCTAAAAAGGTTTCATGTTATCAGCTTGGCGGAGTTTTATTTTACACATAGGGAAAGTGGTTTAAGCACCTACGGAACTCTTTCGTTTTTTCACTTGGGGGTTCATTTGCAGGTTCCGTTCGGTGAAAAAGAGTTGGTGAAGAAACAATTGAAAATCGTCTGCGAGAATGTTGGGCCTTGGACGTTCACAGGGGGTAACAAGGTGAGGCTGGTTGTCCATTTGTAAAAAACCATATGCTGTGTGAAAATACGCTGGATAAATTTCAATTCTAAAAAATCAGAAGTAAGCACGCACTTACGACAATAAAAATTTGGCATTGAAAAACTGACGCACTTTTCTTGGTAAAATTTGAGAACTGAATAAAGCTAAAATTATTTGACAAGTCACTAATTTGTGTTGATACTTAACTCACTTTTAATCGCTCTCCAATAAGGTCAATTTGTGAACATCAACTCAATTTCTTTGTGAAAATCTCGAATTAAGTTGTGGACCTACATCTTATTAAAGGATAGAGATCGATATCATGAATAATACCTGAGCAAATTATCTCTGTATAATTTTTTTCATTACTCAGTGACTGATTTCAGGAAAGCGCCCGACTGTGGGAGCTGCTGCTGGAGCTCTTTTGTCTCTCTTATGCATTATTTCCATTGATATTGCAATATTTACTTCCATTTAAAACAGGAATGTGTTACTTTAATACAGATTATTTGATAAATTATAAAATTCTTTTGCGCCATACGTATTTCCATCAAAATCACTACCGCGTAACAATTATTTTTGAGAAGTGTAATGTATGAAGTTACGGCCGAGAAGGGTGGTAACAACACGGCCGCACGGAACAGGCAGTATTGGAACCACAAAATGAACTCCAAAAAAGAACGAAGCAAATACATGGAGCACAACTTCTAAAACGGGCTTCTTCTTCGTGGCTAGTTATTAAGCAAGCATACAGGAATCCTGTTATGCTACAAGAGGAATATTTCGTTTGAAGGAATTTTTTTGCCATGGATTTTCCTCATTTTGATTTTTCTCTTTTTTGATAAATCGATTCGGAATCTGTGTTTGACCAAAATATTTTAGATTGGCGATGCCAAATCATTTTTAACCGTGCGTTGCTCATTACTGCCGCACTACATCAGCTACGTGATAAAAGATCTCGCTTAATGGGAGATTTTTAGGGATGACGTTGCGAACAATTTCTTAGATTAGTTGTGAATATCGGAAATAAATTAACGATCTGTGTTTTCATTTTGACCGGTTACTTTTTCCCCAGGAGCTGTCGAATGTTACCCTAACATCCCGGACACAGGAACAATCCACGAACGCCGTTTTGCAGAAAATTGAGCAGGAGGTAAGAGAAGGAAGAGTTAAGAAGGAAGAAAAGCGCAATTGCTCTCTAATGTGAAGATAGTGGAGAAAAGAGGCAGAAGGTGAAGAAAAGAGGAAGAAGAAAAAGGAGCGAGAAAGAAGAATAAACGAGGATGGAAGAAGTAGGAAACTCAAGATACGAAAAAATGGAGTTACGAGTAATTGGTGAGAAGGTGCAAGGAAAATTAGAAAAACAGAGTGAATAAGCTGAATAGAAAACGAGAGAAGTAAAATTGTAGAGAGTGGAAAACGCTCTTGAGAGAAAGAACAGGAAAATAGAGAGGAATGAGAGGATGAAAATAGTATAATGATAGAGTAGTAACAGGGAGGATTCCTTGATGTTATTGATGTTCATTTGCACCGTATAATTATATATTTATAATTTTGCAGCAGGGCCATGCAACATTTTATTTCGACCTAGCTTTGAAAAGCGAATCGCCTACAGGGAAACAAATACAAATTTCCTTCTGAGATATTGTCGGACTGTGACGTGTTCCGTTATTAAATAATATATAGCGCGAAACTAAACTAATATAAAAAATTATTATTTTCATGTTTCACCATTTATAATGACTTGAACAGTATTCAACTGTTCATCCGTGTTGTGTGTCTTGCATGAAGCTGAATTGAGGCGAGCATGTCATTAGTTATTTCAATTATTATTTGTTAAATTGATTAATAATTCGACTAACAATTTTTCAAGGAGTTTATAGCATATATTTAATGATGTGGAAATGTTTTTTTAACTCGCGAATAGAAGTATTTAAAAAAAGTGTTATTAAAGGTATTAATAGTGGTTATTTTGAATGCATACATAGCTCTTTACTTGTTTTAAGACTCAGCGTGCACCACTCAAAACATTAAATTTTTTCACATATATTATTTATATATTTTTGTCAAAATATGTGTGTGGACGCTTGAAGCCTGGCGCCATATAAATAATAATGAGCTGAGCGTATCCAGGATACATATCTTGTCTGGATACTGCCTGGGCCTGAAATTTTATTTTTAATTTTTATTACAGAATAGGAAAAGATTGCAGGAAACTATCGGATTCCAGAATGAAATTTGATTTTGCGTTAGTTAGATATAAATTTAATAACAAACATGCATAATAGTTTTACCCGGATTTTTAGTCGAATAGGAGTTTTATAGTCTATATTAAAATAATGTGGGATTGAAGAGTGTTTATGCATCAGCTATTTTACCACGTTTTTACCACGTTTTTCTTGACTTCGTATCGTGTGTGTCTGTCATTAAAAATCAAACCTTAATTTAGAGCACTTCTAAACATCCTAGTAAGCTGAAATTTGGCATGCATGTTTATGCTGCCTAACAATTCAAGATTTTATCATCAGAAATAATAATTAAACAAATTTTTTTTGAAAAAAAAAAATGTTGAAAAAAATAAAAAAAACACTAAAAATTCACGGTTTGGAATTGAGTTTTTTCTCGAACATCCACACTTGCCAACTCTGGAAATTGATTTGAATTGCTAAAATTGCTAACTAAAAATTAGAAAATAAATAAATACAAAAAATATTTTAAAAACCACGTTTTTCTGGTTTTTATAAAACTAAAAATAGTGAAATAAAATAAATAAAAAAAATTTAAAAAAACACGTTTTCTTAACGGACAAAAAAAGAAAAACATTTACTCTTACATAACATTACATAACATTTTACATAACCTACATGTTATGTAAGAGTAAATGTTTTTCTTTTTTGTCTGTTAAGAAAACGTGGTTTTTATATTTTTTTTTATTTATCTTGACTTCGTTTCGTGTCTGTCTGTCATCAAATTTTCAAACCTTAATTTAGAGCACTTCTGAAGTTCCTAGAAACCTAAAATTCTGTATACATGCTTATGCTGCCTAACAATTCAAGATTTGATCATTAGAAGTACTAATAATAATAAAAAAGTTACGATTTTCAAATTGACGGCGTCTGTCATCAAAAAATCGAACCTTAATTTAGAGCACTTCAAAAAATCTAACCATAATTCAGAGCACTTCTGAAGATCCTTGCAACTTGAAATTTGGCGTGCATGCTTATGCTGCCTAACAATTCAAGATTTGATCATCAGAAGTAATACGTTTATACTTAAAAATTGTTAAATTAATTAACTGACTTTTTTATCGAGAGACAAATTTACGGTTGGGAATCGAGTCTATTACGCTCCTGATTAACGGCTAACGGTTAGTCTATTTGTCAATAACACTGAATGTATAGAGAATATTTTCAGATGAATTTCTTTTAATTATTAAAAGTATTGAACTAAAAAGTAGTAAATAAATATATATAAAAAAATTTTAAAAAACCATATTTTTCTGGTTGTTACAAAACTAAAAACAATGAAAAAAAAAACTTTTAAAAACCACGTTTTCTTGACGGACAAAAAATAAAAACATTAACTTTTACATAAAATTAAAGTTATGTAGAATGTTATGTAATCTTATGTAAGAGTTAATGTTTTTCTTTTTTGTCCGTTAAGAAAACGTGTTTTTTTTAAGTTTTTTTATATATTTTATTTCATTGTTTTTACTTATGTAACAACCAGAAAAATGTGGTTTTTAAAAATGTTTTATACATATATTTATTTATTAGGGGTTACTAATTGAATTAGGGTTTATGGCAATGACGAGATTTGTGTTAAGAGGATTTCTAAATTTCAGGAATTATTAAGCCCCGGGCAAAGCCTGGCTAAACTACCAGTTTAGACTATTAAAACGCATTTAATTAAACTATATTCGATTGTGTTCCATAAACTCAGTACAATAATTTCATAAAACTTCTCATGATTTAGGGCATTCAAATAATCTTCATGTGCTGGCTAAACAGGGCAACTTGCAGGTCAATTCACCGGAATATTGGTAGCGCTTGCATTTTGATATAATTGAGTCATCATGCATAATTCTCTTTAAAAGGTTTAATTATTCGATAAAGTTATCCGATGCATTTGCAAACATTTTTATTAATTATTTTGTATTTTAAATATGGTTAATACTTGTGTGATTGTCTTATAATAGGCCGCACCATAATGAGGACCATTGTTTATGTGATATGTGACAGTAAATTGAATGCGTATAAGTTGCGAGTGAAATTTCTTTCATCTGATAATGTGATGGTGCACTATTGATGATAGTGGTTGAAACGTTTGTTACGCAATCTTAATATAAAAAAGCAAAAATAAAGAAGTTAGAAGAAATATGTAGTTAAAAAGTTAAAATGAGCGAAAATAATGCTATAGTAATATAAGAAATGTTTTCAAGTAAATTGATGTATGCCATAGGTTGCTAAATGAATTATTTACTATTGTTTTAATACTGCATAACAAATTCTCTTAGTACACTAAAAATAAATTGTTAGTGTATAGCCAATTAGGTTTTTGAGAGATGTACATTTCATAGCTCCTGGCAAAAAAAGGCCACAAGCCAGTAGCACAGGTTCATGTGTGACGAAAATTTTGACGAACTAAAATTACAAGAACAGACTGAAGAGGGCAGGAATACTGCTATGATGCGTATATAAGAAAATTAATTAATAAGGTTCAGAGCGCACTGTAAAAAGCTCAAGCTTAGTTTGAGCTTCGAACCCTCACGGAATTAATGAACCCCAAATTCCTTACAAAATTTTAGATCATATCAACACGGTGTTCGATGTACATGTACCATATCGATGCATTCAAAAGCTTATAAGTTATTTTATAAACGCTCACCACAAAGGCAGCCTCAGACAACCGTTGTTATTCAAAAGATTATGTTTGCTCTCATATATGAGATAAATTTACTATATATGCATTGGTTGAGGTTAACGGGATCGCAGATGTTCCGCACGGCCAAAATGCTTGGTTTTCGTGAATATATTGGAAATTCCAAAACAAAATTTGGGGTTTCCTCGTGTATCTCCTTTCAAATTAATTATGTCATCAAAATGTTGCACTGGGAAGACAGGCAGTTTGACATTGCTTTGAAATGTAGACGAAGAAGAATACCTATATTCACTTTCCTACCGCAAACACCACAGTAGAAGAGTACAGTGACAGCTCGGTTGTGGAGCTCTCGTGTAAAATTTCCCCAAATTGTGTTCAGTCCTGCCCTAACGAAAAATGACTGAAATAATTTATATGATGAAAACTACTGCAAAAAATTTGGGCTTTGTACAATTTTGGCTGCATTGCTAACATGGGTGAGGTTGAGCGCGAGGAAGTGTTGTGATAGTCTTGGGGTAGCTGCGTTATAGTGATGCCGACATTGACGCAAACGATTTATGTACTGATAGTGATAATTAATTTGCATCCAACAGAACTAGTGCTGGTAACTGCTCTCTTATTAGTTAATGACGATAATTTGCTCAATCAATTACCATACGGACTCATTGAGTTGCCATGCAAGGCCCATCAAAATTTCTAAAATTCACTGTCGCGCTTGTTGAAACGCAACTTTAACAGCCAATGTCGTTATAGAGTAACTTGCGCTTGCGGTGCATGCTAATTATTGCACTTTATCATATCACCGTTGAACGTGCAGTTGATGACAATATCTATTGATAATTTCTATTAGAGCAAAGATTTTATAAAGTAAAAATACGCATGGTTGGAAAGTTTAAGGTGCTATAATGCTAATTATTTTCCTATTTTAACCTCTGAACCTGTAAATTCATTTTTCTCCATTTAATGACGATGTACAGCTAAAACAATGGTTATATATATTCATTTTATTATACGGATGCAAACCATACCAATCAAATCACTAGACATTGTGGCGGACGTAATCATTAGAGTCAGAAGATCATTCTGTTCAGCTTTTTCTTATGGAAACAAAAGAATAAAAGGATCAGGAACCTGATGATGGATGGCACATTCAAGATTTCCATGCTGCATCTTTGCTTTCCATCATTTCCTAGAAATGCTTACAACTTTAGGATTACTAGAACTTGAACCTCACTTGGACGATTCTTAATAGTTGTATGCGAGGTATGTTATTAAGAGATATTGTTCTCATCACGAAAGCATATACATTGTTCGTATGATGAGAGAATTTGCGATGGAATATGGGCCAATAAAAGGGCTTGCCATTTGCACTGGCAATCCTACCACATGAAGAAAACATATGGGATCTTATGCAGTTAGAATTTCCTCGCATTCACTCCTATGGCTGGAATTGTGGGTTGAAATGCATAAAATGATGCCTCATGTGTAATTAAGCCACACTGCGCATAATCATATTCCCACGAAGTACAGTACTTCAGTCATTAATTCATATCTCGTGTCTTTCTTTCTATTGAACGTCATAAATATTTTGTTGACTCTTCAAACTCGTCGATAACCAATTTCCGTAAGTACTTCAACTTATTTACCTAAAATTTACCTTGTTACTTCGGGAACTTTTACTATTGCATAAACATTTATATATTTAATCAGAAAATCTTGTGTTAACTATTCCCAAGCACGAATAATACTCCTGTAAATTATCAGTTGTGAAGAGATCAGTAAACGACCAAAATACTTTTTTGTTCGAAAAGCGTACCAAAAAAAATTATGAATTCTGTTCACAGAACGCCAGCGGAGAACCACTAGCCATGACGTCATATTGCATGCATGCTAGTCAGCGCCATTTTGTGTTTGGTGTCATCGAGTGAACAAAGGGTAAGTAGCTAAGTCCACTTTTAGGATTAAGATTCTGATAGGACTCGAATCTGGCTATGTTTGATTATAAATTACTTACTCTGGTGATTAAACTACATCTGCAAATAATGAGTCAGATCTATATGTAGGAATCTTAGTCACGCTCCATGCTCAGAAGTACACCAGAGCAACTCTAACGTGTGACTCGTTGAACTCGTGCCTGATAATTCACATTATAATAATGCCTCACATGACGTTAATATTATGCATAAAGTTTCCAATTCATTCTCTTTCTGACATTGATTTATTTCTTGACTGCATAGAACAGGCTGGTGAGGTGCTTCTGGCACCAAAAGTCTTCAACCTAACAATAGACAAAAAATGTATAGCGGAATGGAGTGTTTTTCATTTTTTTTGGGATTCGGCTTCACAACAGTGCGGACAAATTGTGGATGTCAAAAAAAACGACGTGCGCAAAATTTTGCACGTCTAGGTTAATTTCTTCATGATTCAAGGGACGTTTTCAATCATATGAAAAAATAGCATATATATGAAAATGTTCCCAAAAATCCAGCTAACATTTTTAGAGGTCACAATGGGAAAAATCAGCATAAAACGTATTTATTAATGTATGTTCCATGTTTCAAAGCCCTACCTTATCATCTTTATCAATAAAAAATCGTAAGAAAATTATAAAAATATGTGGGTAGCGCACATTTATAATTCAGCGACACTGTTTTTTGGAGAATTAGATGGAACATGTCGCACAATACCCCTACTTATGCATATTTTTATGATATGTGCATTTGTGCATTACCCTCATATTTTTATAATTTTATTACGATTCTCTAATGATGAAGATGATAAGGTAGGGCTTTGAAACATGGAACATACATTAATAAAGATGTTTTCATGATGATTCTTTCCCATTGTGACCTCTATAAATGTTAGCTGGATTTTTGGGAAAATTTTCATACAAATGTTTTTTTATGGTTTTAAAAGTTTCAAACGACCTTCAAATTATGAAGGAATCAACCTAGAGGTCTGAAATTTTGCACACGTCGTTCTTTCTGTACATCCACAATTTTCCGCACTATTGTGAAACCGAACTCCAAAAAGTTGAAAAAATATAACTCAGTACTCACTGCAGTGAGTGACAGAGAGCTCATTTTCTCGTCTACGAGACCTTGAAGTCACGGACAGACAGACAGACAGACGGACGGACATGTCGAGCACAATAGGGAATTTTTTCCATAAATGAGATAAGGCGCTAAAAATGGTCCACCCTACTATGTAGTGCGCTAACGACCAATGCCCGGACTAGTGTTGGTCGGCCTCATTGTCTTCGTTCACACAATAATCCCTAATCTTCACGCCTTCACCTAAACCCAAACCTATACAGTATATCTACTCTAAGTAATGCAAGGAGAGGCTACAACCAATAACCCTTATTACAACTTTTAGCACACCTCCCATAGGACTAAAATAAATTCAACTGAAAAATAAATTCAACTATAAACCAAGCAAGCCTAAGAAATACAAATAATAATGCCTTCATATCGATTCCAGTCCAGTGTCTCAAGATAGAATGGCTGCACCAACTGACCACTCCCGAGGGTCTCACTGAGAGAAAGTGTTTTATGTCATAAGTCTTCTTGTGAAGATACTGACTTTTCTGCAAAAAAAAATGAATCTGAGTATCAAAAAATATAACTCAGTACTCACTGCAATGATTGACAGATAGCGCATTTTTTCGTCGACGAAAATGTGAAGTCGCAGACGGACGGACGGACAGACAGACAGACAGACGGACGGACATGACGAGCACAATAGGGCATTTTTCCATAAATGAGAAAATGCGCTAAAAAGACACTGCACTAGGTACACTCTCAGGTGTCAAGGAAATATTTTATATATCCTTGAATTTCCATATATAATTTGTATAATATAATATAATATTTTATATTTCCTTATATATGGAAATTCAAAGTCATCAAATGATCGACTTGTGAGTCCTTTTATGTTCCCGGCCTAACGATAGAACTAATTTTGCGACTAATATTGCGACGCAGTAATGTTAATGTAAGAATGTCCAGTCTTTTCCTGTTACCGTAGTGTTGACACAGTATTGTCATGGTACAATTCTCATATTGTGTTCGCGTTGACACAGTATTGCCACGGTACAATACACTATTTATGTTCGCTTATTTATATTTTTAAAATACTTCCCAGAGCAGACACGTAAGTGACAGTTAACACAACACACTTTTAACTTACAACCCATTGCGCTGTACACAATACAACCTATATGAACGATACATCAGGCGTTGTTCAGGAAAGTATAAGTGCATCCGGTAGTTATGAGTGATGAGTTCGGCCCTGGAACAGTTAAATCTTGTGTGACGACATGACACGCACTATAACGCATCAGTGAAGCCCATAGAGCATTCATTCGTTAATATTACGCATTCACTGTTCAATCACTGTCGAGATCAGTTGTGTCATTGTCGGTGTCGAGGTGCTGCGGATTTACAGGTGCAGATCCATAGATTGAATTTATTTGTGCACAAGTAGATACTATGTATATTTAAGTGTTGGATTTATTGTAAACCTGTAGAAGAAACTTATTCTAAATAATTTTCAAATATGAATGGTATCTATATGTTAACATAGCATTTGATATTAAATTCAAGCGCAATATTAGGTTAATTAATGATTAAAAAATCTATAATCAGGTCGAGGAAAGACTCTTGAGGTGGAGGAAATACATCTGAAGCATTATGTCAAAGGAACCTATTAACACTGTTCGCTTTACGAAAATAATAATTTCAAATAATAATAAATAATAAAAATTTCGCTTTCGACTTCCAATAATGAAAAATCACCATAAGATTTTAACCAGAAATGCTCGGTCCTAAATACACGAAGCAATCAGAAAAATTCTATAACCAGTATAAGAAACAAACTGAAAATTTTCAAATTTTTTAAATTTTTATATCAATGAAAAATTCTACAAACCGAAGTTTATAATAATTTTTTTAAATATAATATTAAACATAAATAAACAATAAAACCTTTCACTCCCAACAATAAACTAAACCAAGAGCCAACAGTATACTAACAAATATATGTTTATAGGATTTTTCAATTATTCAGACATTCATACTTTTAATCATAAATCTCCAGGTGATAAATGTTTCCAGAGTTTAACATCACCTCTCTTTATACATCTTTTATTGAGTCTTTCTTTCATTTCTTATAAAGTCTATCTAAGTGTCCTCCGTTGCATCTCGCAAACAAGCTACGAAATTCGTATCGTTCGTGGGATGCATATCCCACGAACGACTGAAATTGAAATTGAACATGAATATTCACAAACAACAATAATAAATAAATACGGTTTTCATCATTGAACTTGAAGAAACCAAGTGAATTTAAAATTATAACATAAAAACCACTAAATCTAGACTTTCATCATGTGTTCTCATTGCTTCAATTTTGTTACAATATAGCGGATAGACCAAGCGTCTCCATATCCCAACCGAGTTGAACAACTAGGCAGCCTATATAAAGGTTATTTGGCAGCACGTCAATTAATGATTTAGGGCAGTGGTTCTCAAAGTGGACGGTGCCGTCCCCTTGGGGGCGGTGGAAAGATTTGGGGGGGGGGGTGAGGCAGGAGAGGGGGGCGGCTGTCCGAAGTTCGTACGTTTGTTTGACGATTTGTACACAACACGCGCAGCACATAACTACCAGCGATGGGTTAGCCCACACAGATCTGTTTTTTTCACCTCTCCTGGGTTGTACGTCTCGGACAAACTTACGGCCGGACTCGCGGCCGGTCTCACGGCCAATTTCCAAATTTAATGATCAATGAATATCTCCCAAACTAATGAACTTAACTCGATGAAACTTGATACACGTATTTATTAGGACCTAACTACGATGTTTTGCTTGTGAAAATTTTCTGACTTTCGCTTTCATTCGTGAGTTATATGGCAATACGGGCCGATATTCGCAATGATCAAAGAATTTCTTTCAAATTGCTGAACAGAATTGTACGAAATTTTGCTTATACATTCCTAACTACCGAACGGTGATGTTTGGCTCGTGAAAATTTTTGTCGATTTGGCCTTCCTTCGCAAGTTTTTTTCTTAATTTCATTTGCATTTGTGATTTAAACAACAATATACGTGCTTAAATTCGTAGTGATCAAGAAATTTCTTCTAAACTACTGAACAGATTTGAACGAAACTTAGCATATGAATACCTAACCTCGGCAACGGTGATGTTCAGCCTCTGACAATTTTTTTTATTTTGCCTTCGTAAGCGAGTTATACGGCTATACGTATACGGCTCTTGGTTGAACTGGCCGGTCGAAACGAAATGCGGTCGTTTCTCCGCATACCCGCATAACTCGCGAACGAAAGCAAAATAGAAAAAAATTGTCACGAGCTAAACATCACCGTTGGGAGGTTAGGCATTTAAATACAAAGTTTCGTTCAAGTATGTTCAGTAACTTTGAAGAAATTTTTTGTTAACCGCGAATTTAGCGACAAGTTACCCAGCGATACGGGCCGAATTATAATGGCCCGAATAAAGAATATGTGTGAAAATCACGAGTGACGGTGAAATGGAAAAAAATCGCAAACTATGGCAAAATCGAAAAATGTCACGAGCTAAGAATCCCCGTTTGGTAGTTGGAATGTATTTTCAAAATTTCGTTCGAATCTGTTCAGTATTTTGGAAGAAATTCTTTGATCACTGTGAATTTCGGCCTGTATCGCCATATAACTCACGAATGGCGGTGAAATTTAAAAAAAATTCGCGAGCTAAACATCACCGTTAGGTCCTAATGAACACGCGTTCCAAGTTTCATCTAGCTGTGTTCTAGAGTTTGGGAGATATTACTTGATAATTGACTTTGAAGATTGGTTGTGAAACCGGCCACGAGTCCGGCCGGAAATTTGTCCGTGGCGTCCTGGGTTTCTAGTGCTGAAACAGTTAAAACTGCATTAAAAATAAATAGGTCTACTAAATTGGGTTCTATTTGTGAAAGGCACATTTGTGGTAAACCTTTCTCTTTTAAATTGCAGTGAATTAAACATGAAATAAGTAAATATAAAAAATATATTTTTAAAAACCACGTTTTTCTGTTTTTTACAAAACTAAAAATAATGGAATAAAACAAATAAAAAAAACTGTTAAAAACACGTTTTCTTAACGGACAAAAAAGAAAAACATTTACTCATACATAACATTTAAGTTGTGTAAAATGTTATGTAATGTTATGTAAGAGTTAATGTTTTTCTTTTTTGTCCGTTAAGAAAACGTGTTTTTTTAACAGTTTTTTACTTGTTTTATTTCATTATTTTTAGTTTTGTAAAAAACAGAAAAACGTGGTTTTTAAAAATATTTTTTAAATTTATTTATTTTCTACTTTTTAGTTAACAATTTTAGCAATTGAAATCAATTTCCAAGGTTGGCAAGTGTGGATGTTCGAGAAAAAACTCAATTCCAAACCTTGAATTTTTCGTGTTTTTTAAAATTTTTTTTATTTTTTTAAAATCATCATTTCTGATGATCAAATCTTGAATTGTTAGGCAGCATAAGCATGCATGCCAAATTTAAAGTTTCTAGGAAGTTCAGAAGAGCTCTAAATTAAGGTCTGTATTTTTGACGACAGACAGACACGAAACGAAGTCAAGAAAAGCGTGGTAAATAAAAAGAGGCGTATGTTTTTATATGTGTCTGAGGGTGGCGGGCACTAGAAATTCACCGAGGAGCCAAAGGGGGTGCCAGCTGAAAAAGTTTGGAAACCACTGATTTGTGTTAATTACCCTATATCGCAAATTTAGCTTCACATAATGTGGAATTAGGGAAAAGTTAAAAAGATGTAAAATTAGCTGGATCGCGTCATCGAATTATTTGAATACTTGTGTGATTTTGTGTGCCCATTCGAATGAAAATATACAGTGCAATAACACAAGTCGCATGTTATTCAAATCACCCCACCTCTGCAATCCAGTTTAGAAGTTAGAATTTAAAATCTTGCCAGCGTAATTTTTTCTAGTTTGAAATTTATCGGTTTATTATTTATTTATTTTATTTATATTATTTATTTATTAACCAATAATCATTGTCGACAGTCAGAAATGGAGCTAGAAAATTTTCAACCTGAATATCGGGGAATATAAAGTCTCTCGTTAATTGTAGACCATATTCTTCCAAATCACTCTGATAGAAATAAATAACTTTTTAGATAACCAATTAAAAATCACGAAAAAAATGCTCAATACACTCAACAAAATTGCTTTCCTCCTGATACGGGAGTATAAATTTTAGATGATTTTTATTTTTTGTTTAAATTCCATCCATGATATTCGTGAATTGACAAATATTTACAAATTATGAGAAAATCTTTATTTGTGATCAAAATAGAACGAAACCTTATTAAGAAATAGATGATGGGAAAAACATGGATTCAAGATAAACTAAAAGCTTTTTTACATAATTTTGGCGACGACTAATGGTGTTTCTTCCCTACGATTGATATCGCATCATTTACATAGATAATTCACTTAACAAAAATATTAAATATTGCAACTGGCTTCAATTTGAATATAAATATTCTTAATTCAAAATAAAAATATTTTTCACCTTAGAGGGCCGATCTCAGAAATATATTTCTGAATCAAATTCACACTAATCCAATATTAATGGTTCAAACTTGAGGAAATTAACTGGGATTTAAAATAAAAACATTAAAACGTGGAATCATCGTAGAAGAAAAAAGCTCACGCATATCATGGAATCAACAGGTTCTGTGATACAAGATTTTTTTTAAGGCTATTAAATAAACCAAAATGTTTATGTGAAAAACATAAATATTCGTATAATTGCAACGTGTCATACTATTTTAGTGACATTCAGCAACGAAAAAGATGATTCAGATGGTGATTATTTAACTAAAATTTATCTTTCTAGGTGCAGAGATCATTATGGCTGAAGAAAATCAACTGGTCACTAACTTGCTGACTCGTACAACGCGCCTCAGCGATGACGTCATGAAACTTGACCGTGATTCATTTGGCGGGAAAGTATCCATGTGCTACGATCCGGTGGACTACGCTCGACAAAATTATGAGGAATATCTCGAAAGGTTCTTCCCGCCAGGGCAAGAGAGAAAAGCCGGAAAGAAAATACTTTTCCTGGGCATGAAGCCTGGTTGGGGAGTAGCACAGACAGGAGTATGTTGACATATCCTTTAGAATATTAATCTTTTAAGTATTTGTGATTGATAATTATGATAAAGTTGAAATGTAACACTGCATTGAGTGAAATACAATGTATCATGCACTCACAGCTTACTGTCGAGTTTTATGCGTTAATCAATAAATCCATTCGTTATGTTTAAAACTCTCGATAACATCATGATGCAAAACATGTTCAAATTTCCTCTGGTCGTTAATTATTAATTTTGGTTGAAGACTTTTTTTTATGGTACTTTTTGAACATTTGTAAGATGAATCACATTACATTACCGTAAGATATTAACATCTATGGCCAAAACAAAATATTTATGCACGTAATGACGTGCATTACACTCTCAAATATTTCTTAGATACGCATACGCAATGATGTCTCGGATGTAAAATAATTTATAACAACCGCCCAAAACAACAATGTTGTAGTTTTTTTGCACAACTAATTCTGTTGACCGATGCTTGGCCCTCATGGCTTTCATTTCACTTAATAGTTTTTCATAGTGCAATTCTAATTTTATTGATTTTTTCATATAATTCTTAATCTCATGAGAATTCGTGAACCTCGAACCTAAATATAGTATGAATAAATCACTGACAGGCTCTTTGTTTACCCTGGGTAATGTTTTATGACGACATGGAGTTTAATAAAAATATATGAAACGTCCTTTGACAAATGAAACAGATAGTACAATTTGAATGTCATTGATTATAACATGAAAAAACTTTAGACTTGCTCAGAGACGTCATAGTCTCCACCATTTCAAAATTTATGATTTCACAGGTCCCATTCTGCGAATCAGCTTCAGATTGTCTGCGGCTGTCAATCAACTGCTCTGAAGTTGGACGTCCTAAAGAAGCAAAGACGGACGACACGGACGACTCGGACGACGCGGACGACGCGGACGACACGGACGACGCGGACGACGCGGACGACGCGGACGACGCGGACGACGCGGACGACACGGACGACGCGGACGACGCAGACGACAATCCTTTTGAAAATGCCTCTAGAACGGTAAGACTAATTATATCTGCATTTTTTATATTTTGGTCTGTGTGTGAGTGCACAAGATAGGTTTTATCCGAACTATATCCATATAATTCTTTTTATAGCACAGACGGCACTTTTTCGTGTATCAAAATGTAAATATTATAACCAGAGTTACATTTTAAAATGATGTCAACATTTGCTTGAAGTGGGGTTTCCCTGCTTTACATGGAAATACTGTCCCGGTTATGGTAATAACTGAAATTAAATCGAATTTTTATCCCAAATAATTGGTAGAAGTACTTCTACATCAATTGTTGTAAATATACGATCAAGATTAATGATGCATATACAACCCATTTTAACTGCTCAGTAACTGATTTAACTATTTATACTGTAGAAGGGTGAGAATCGACTATGGAAGCTGCTGCTGAAGCTCTTTAAAAACGACGTGGAGGCGCTCTTCAGTTCTCAGCTGGTCTTCGTGCACTACTATTGTCCTGTGATGCTGCTCGACTCCGAAGAGAAATACGTCCCTCTGGACCATCTTATTAAGGTAAAGTTTTAGGAGAGTAAGCTAAAAGAGCAACCGTCTCAATTATTCTCCCTATTCTCTGCCTCTTGTGCAAATATCGATGCACGGGAGTATCGGTTTTGAGGCCTAATAAATGGTAAATAGTTCTCATGGTCAAACACATGACAATGATTGTCATTTTAAAAAACAAATGGTATACATGGGTGCAATATCAATTATTATCACCCATTTATATATTGCTAACTAAAGTTGACATGTTGGAAGAATACTGTATTGAATGAAATTGTAATTAATTCCCTGACGCTGTCAAGACCGCTGCTGTGGGCGTTTCTGAGGACGCTCCTAAAAACACCAACAAAGGCGCTAAAAAATGCGCTGCCGAGGTTAAGGTCAGTGAATTATCAACAAATTTATCGAGTGAGATGGCGAATATGATATTTTGGGCAAAATAAATTCGACAAATAGATATTATCGAATTTATCGAATATTATCGAATTTTTCATGCATTTATTGGGTTGGGTTTCTCTTTAGTTCTTATCATTAGAACTATCTTAGTTTATGAGCGCTTATGCTAATGTGTAATGGCCAATTTTTTGTCCAATATATGGTTAGTTTATTGCACCATGACTAAACCTTTATTATTTAGTATTCTGAGATATATGATATTAGTACTTATATAAGTACAGCGTTATGACTCTAAGTCGCTTCGAAACTGTAGAGGCTTGCTTTGTTCCTAGCTTTATCTGCTACTACGTAGCTACGTGGCTAAATGTAGCTCTATGCGCGCTTTTAAAATTAGCGTTGGTTCCAGAGCTAGATTGAGAGTTGAATTGATGTCAACGGATGCGTTCTCCCTCAAACAACGACAGCTTGCAATCCCACGAACACACACACTCATGCCCATATACAAACACACGCATACATTATTGTTCTATTGTTATCAGCATGTGATACCTGCGTTTGTCGGCAATGTTGAGTAACAGAACGATAAATAGGTTATTAATTAAGTACTAATGGACGAGTGAGAATAAAATTCAAGAACCTGACAATTTTTCGATGCTATTGCGCTCTAAAATCCAATATCATTCATCAGTCACACACACAAAAACTAGATTAATAAGACAGTTTTTAAGTCCCCACAAGGTTAATATTAATAAACAAGGGTGGCGGGAGTGCTAAGGCTGGCCGCCGTATGCTGGAGGATCTGTGTGACGCGGCTCTATGCGAGGTCGTCAAGCTTCTCGGCGTGACGGACATCGTCGCTGTGGGCAACTACGCCGAGGAAGCCGCGCATCGCGCCTTCCCTGGCGCTGCCCCGACCGCTGCTAATGGCGTTTCCGAGGACGCTCTCAAGAACACCGACGAGGGCGCTAAAAAAGGCGCTTTTGATGTCAAGGTCAGTGAATTATCAACGCAATTCTCGAGTGAGATGGCGAAGATGAAATTTCGGGCGAGACGAATTCAAGGAAAATTAGCACAAGATTATTGTATGCTCCTGCAAATCTGTTGGTATGTAAAGTCTTCGACAACGAATTGTCTTCCATTTTTACTTATAAATAACACAAAATGGTTCCGCTACGAGATTCCGTCTCTGATTACCAAGAACGCTTGATCAGTCGAATAATGCTGTAATATTCATCCATTTACAATATTTTGGTGAAATATTTTTTATCATTATTGCGAAGTACTTTTTGTATTTTCTCCTGACTTCCCTGCCAGCAGCAGCCATTAAAAATCTATTCACTACATTTTTCAATTTTTAAAATACTTTTACATTGTCTGGGAGTCGGACTTTAATACACATACGAAAATTACAAGCAAGTCAATTATAACTAACGATAATAATGGCAATTTTTTGATAAACAGTTGCAGATCCATGTGATCAATCATCCAGACAATCATATACTGCGTTGGGACGAAACGGTCGAGAACATTCTTCGCGACGCCAAGCTTCTGCAACACTTCCCTAAGTATTTGCAAGAGGGTACACATCAAGAAACAGGTAGCTTTTCTCCCGAAACATTCTTTATAATTTTGATCAGTATGGCCTAATAAGAAAATATGTTTTTTGTTGAATATCCAAATATTTGGTTACTATATATTTGGTTACTATATATTATCAAACACTTATATTTTTTGCTCAAATATCGATGTCATCCAATTCACAGATGTGCCTTTGCTTTACATACACATGAGCATCCTCACGGAACGTGCCACATTCTATAAGGATCCATCTCTGGGATCCAAATATTCGTCGGAAGTTTCTGATGTGTTTGTGCACTCGTTGCAGATCCATTTACTCCATAGGATATCAGGACTCATTCTGTACACGAGATGCAGAGATGAAATTCTGATCGTGAGTGAAGCAAGTTAACTTGAATTTCACTCATTGCTCGAGGACTTGAAGTCAATCTTTTAAGTCAATAGAATTGAAAAAAGCGAGTTTAGCTTTTATTGGGCCTCCCAATTACCGGAAGGAAAAATCGCCGGAATAGAAGATATGACTTTTACGTTTATTTGTTAGGTATAACTAAGTTTAGAGATTCCTTTTTAAGTAGATCAAAAATATATATTTTTAATAGATTCCTTTTTATAGCGATGACGCCATTTCGTTTTCCTCATCAAGCTTTTATGAATTGGTTTATTGAATTTTTTTTTCTCGCAGGAAATTGATTAATATATTGAGATCTTGGTTTTCTTAGTTTGACTTTTCCAGCTTTGATTTGACCAGAAATTATTTCAAGTTTTTGTTTCATTGATATGAGATTGTTGGTGGTGAGGGAAGATAGGTTTGAGTTCAGCATCTTCATTCACAAAATGTCAATACTTATTTAATACCTTCCTCAGTTCAGGGTTTTATATACCAGGGTTGAACTTTATTTTTAAGAAAAGCGATCTAGGGGTTTATTTTCAACTTTATTCCTTTTTAAAACTTCCTCAAGTTGCTCCAGGTACGGATTTTTGCTATATCTCCTTTCCCTTAAATGATTATAGAAAGTTAACACAGTTTTTATGAAATCTGGGAAGTTATTACAGTTCCTTTTATGTCTTAAGAAATCACCTTCCATCAAAGCTCTCAAACAGAAGCTATAGGGTGGGCACTATTGGTGTTTAAATACTGAAAATTTTTGGCCTGTTTAAAAAAGGTTTCCATATCAAGCGGGCTAGTCATCTTAAAATTTTCACCCTATTATATCGTGATATCCAAGAAATTCAGCGCCAGGCTGCTTATTTCCGTAGTGAACTTAATTGACTCATCGATCGGATTCAAGTCCTCGAGGAATGATTGAAATTTACTTGTTACACTCATGATCAGAATATCATCTCAGCCACTCCAATCTCTTCTTCATAATATGTTCCATTGAATTCCAAGAAGTTGTTCTCCAGAATAAGAGTTTTTTTTTTGTTTAACGAGTTGAGTTAATTCATCCTTCAAAAACCTTCCTTTACCCAATGCTCTTCAGCTGACCCAAAATATTCTGGCTGAAAGTGTATCATTCCTACTATAGGGCTACAATTCATCAATGCAGACGAATGTCGTTAAGTCGCCGCACTCTTTCCTAAGCAGGTGCCTTTTCTGGGAAGATTGTTGTATGCTCACGCGCGTTCTCTTCCTCCTTTTGCTCAATCAAATGTTTTTAGCTAATCCAACACGTCATGCCTGCACCGTTGGAAGAAACTGCCTGTTTCGAAAACTGTGATGTCCGTTGGTAATACCCGTACTTCATGAGATTCAGCAAACAAAAATATTTTTCCAACACTTCGTTTACTTGGAATTGTCATCAAATTGCAGCTCATTCTTATGCTCTCCAGTTGCCGTCTTGGTTAAAATTGCCCAACTTATTCGGGTGCTATTGCTGGTATGTAACTACGAGGAAGATAACCAATGTTATATGATGTACTTTTTAATTCATGCATTTTTTCACTTATTTTCCCACCAATTTTCATCTAGCACTGGCAAGCCAACTCCGCCAGGACATGGCCAAATTGCGACTGGACGTAGATCAACTGGTCGAGGGTCAGCAGCAAATTATGGTCATGCTAACTATGATGGTTCCGTCCAGAGATGCGCCAAAACAAGAATCTGAAGCGGCTCTGCTTGCCAAAAGTGGGGCGGATCTTCAAAACTCTTCCACTGTCAGTACATATATAGTCTGCAGAAAACCCAGGTCAGACAAGCATCACTTGCCGGCATTAATATTGTTTCGAAGCTCGGATTTTCTACCTCCTTTTATGCATTATTTCCAGTGATTGTGTAATTTTTCTTTCCAAGAGAAAAATATTACTATGAAAGAGATAATTTTAAAACTCTGAACTTTTGGTGCCATCAGTAGTTTCATTAAGTTCACTAAGGCACATTTATTATTGATAAAAATATTTCGCTTGAAGGAATGTTTTTTTCTCTGGACACCAACTTTGATTTTTTTTCTTTATCTCAATTTGGAATCTTTATGTTCGACTAAAATTTTTCGGATTGGCCGGCCGTGGCAAACTCTTTTTACCATGCGTTGCACAGTAATGCTATGGTGCAGAAGCTGAGTGATAAAAAATGCCTCGTGGGAGGTTTTAAGGAATGAAGTTACCTTATAAATTTTGTTGCATTTGTTGTGGATTATTGAAATAAATCAACGACTTGTGTTTTCATTTTCATCATGATTTTTTCTCAGGAGCTTTCGAATGTTACCCCGACACAGGAACAATACACGAACAACGCCATTCAAGAAGAGAAGAGTAAAGATGGTGAAGAGCAGAGGCAGGAGGAAGAGACGAAAGAGAAAGGAGCGATAAAGACGAATAAACGAGGAAAGAAGAAGATGTAAATTCACGCTACGAAAAAATGGAGTTACGAGTAATGGGTGAGAGGATGCAAGAAAAATATGAAAAACAGAGTGAAGAAGCTGAATAGAAAAACTAGAGAAATAAATTTGTAGAGAGTGGAAGACGCAGTGTAGAGAAAGAAGAGGAAAAGAGAGAGGAATGAGAGAGATGAAAAGAGTATAATGATAGAGTAGCAACAGCTCCTTGATAATTTTGACTGGAAATGAAATTTTAAATTTTTTAATAATCTATACCGTATATTTATTTACTGGTATTTTTAATTTTTCGGCAGGGCTATTCACCATTTTATTTCTACCTAGCCGTGAATCACGGATCTCCTACCATGATATATGTACAAATTTCATCGCCGAGATATTTTCGGACTGTCACGTGTTCCATTATTAAATAATTCAATGTATGAAACTAAACTAATATAAAAAATGATTATTTTCATGTTTTACCATTTATAATGTTTGAGCAGTCTTTATCCACGTTGTGTGCGTGTTCTATTTCATGCCGAATGGATACAGATACGACCTATGTATATGTGACTGTTTCGTAAAAATATTTGATAATTTCAATACAAATTTTTCAAAGAGTATATATCAGACATTTAAGGGTGCTGAAAACGCTCTTTTTGTTTGAAAGCTTACCAGTGAAAGCATTACAGAGAAGAGTTACTAAAATAATTCATTTATTTTAAACGCACTTCCATTGCTTTTATGTTCAAAATTTGCCGTATATCTTGTGTACAATTATTGTCAAAGTCTGTTTGTACGTGTTTGAAGCCGGCTACCGCAAATATAAAGGGGCTGTTGGGGGCTCGTATCCAGGATACTTTTCATTTCGGGATATTACCAGGGACCTGAAGTTTTATCCATAGTGGCAGAATAGCAAAGAATTACATGAATAATTACAAATTGAAGTTTGATTTTGTAATTGGTAAACGTAAATTCAATAGAAAAACGCATAATTGTTTTTTTTTCTATGTTGAATGTGGGTTTGAAGATGTCTTCATCACACGAGTGTAAGAATACATAAGCTGTATTGTTTTAGTACCTAGTTACGATAACAGAGGCTACGGGATTGAAAGTATTAGTGATAACGTGATTAAAAAATTTTAGGAATTATAAACCCCGGGCAAAGTCTGGCTAAAAAGACAGTTTACGATAGAATGTATCTAAAATGAATTCGAGTATGTTCTAAATAATCAGTAAACCGATGTTTTAAATTTTCCCAATATAGGACATTCAAATAACTTTCAGGCACTTGGTGGCCAAACGGATCAAATTGTCAGTCCATTCACTTATTTACTTACAGCACTTACATTTCGGACGAATAATTCAGTTCTCTTGATAACACGCAAATGGTGCAATAAATTAATTTTGTTCTGCCTATAATATTAACTACAAGTGTGTCTGATTCACGTCGAAAGAAGTAATTGCGCTGGACTAAAGTAACCCGAACTCATGCCCAAGTTGACTCATGCAACTGAGTTATATCATATATAATTCTCTGTAAAGGAATGAATTAATCTAGAATATTATTTGTTCCGAGTTTACCGGTCATACTGCACGAGATTTCGGGCAGTTAACTCGTATGGAGTTGAGGAGATGGATAGTTGAAACCGATCTTCACTTTACTGGCAACGTGTAAGCTGAAAAACACAAAAGAATACGGCCTATCAGACACTAAAACACAAGTATTCACTAAGTTATGAAACGGTAGCCTTAGGCTTTACAATTTATATAATTTCATAAGGAGACAGGTGTAAAGTTTGACATTTATTTAGACTTACATAGCAGTCCACCTTGGGCAGTACGGAGCAAGTTCGTTGAGATAATAAACTATCGGTCTAATAGGTACTACGGGAGCGCAGCCGTACACCGCCAATTTTGTGCACCAACAAGCCCTGAATCGAACGCCTTGGATCTCTCCGGATATCCACCAATCAGCCGTGAACCACTCGGTTTTGTCCACCTCCGACCTGGCATAAAACCTGCCATGCACCACCAGGCTGCGGATCGAATATCACTCCGGGCATCGTTAAATTACGTAATTTTACGTTCACCGTATCTAAGGTTAGGTTTCAGATAGCAAAGTTCTGTTCCAAAATTTATCGTCCTTCGACGAGTGGCCGTTCGACCGAGGGCTGGTTCGACCCACGGCTTAGATACGGACGGTTTGAAGTGTTGAAGGCTACGTTCCGGAAGGCAGGAATCATGATGGTCCATTACATCCAGGGCAGTGGTGGTCTTCGGCAGGCGACCCACATTATTCGATGTATTTGTAAGAATTTTTAATAATGTTTTCAGATTTTAGAAAAGGCTTATATATGTTTCATTGTGAATATGTCGTAGGCTTTAACTGCATGCCAATGCGGGCCATTGTTCAAATGATTTGTAACAGTGCAGACAAGTTGTTGAAGTTACTAGTGAAATGTTTTTATCTGATTATGTCTCTATTGCTAGTAGTAATTGGAGTCAGAATCAATATATGCGAAAAAAATGCGATATAAATATCATAAATGTCTTCACGTAGATTTTTGAATGCCATAGGTTGTAAAATGAATTTTTTGCTGTTGAATTGACAGTGTATAATATATCATTTTTGTAGACTGCATAATGTTTGTGTGGGTCTAAGAACATATAGTTGTAGTCAGTAGATGGGGTCGCCTGCCGAAGACCACAACTGCCCTGGATGTAATGGACCATCATGATTCCTGCCTTCCGGAACGTAGCCTTCAGCACTTCAAGCCGTCCGTATCTAGGCCACGGGTCGAACCAGCCCTCGGTCGAACGGCCACTTGTCGAAGAACGATAAATTTTGGATCAGAACTATGCTATCTGAAACCTAACCTGAGATGCGGTGAACGTAAAATTACGTAATTTGACGATGCCCGGAAGTCACATTCGATCCGCGGCCTGGTGGTGCACGGCAGGTGGTGGTCAAGGCTGGAGGTGGACAAAGCCGAGTGGTGCACGGCTGATTGGTGGATATCCGGAGAGATCCAAGGCGTTCGATTCAGGGCTTATTGGTGCACAAAATTGATGGTGCACGGCTGCGCTCCCAGTAGATGTACAGTTTGTAGTTTTTTAGATGTACAGTTTGAAGCTCTTCGTACGCAAACGAATTAAAAGACGAAAACCATTAATTACGGCACGGAAAATCTCTATGGACGGAAAATTTTCATCATAGAATAGAATAGAAGTGTCGACGTTGAAGAAATAGGCCCATGGCCTGTTGCCGATTCTTGAACTTTTCGTGACTTGATTTACAAGGGATCCGGCCTTTGGAACCCGATCTTTCTATAGCTGACGATTGATTGAGATAATCGATCCCTCACAACAGATTCCATTACCTTGCAAACGACACTTGTCAAACTGACAGAGCGATAGTTGCCCGGGCAGCTTTTGTCACCTTTTTTAAACAATGGTGCCACTTGAGCTTCTTTCCAGTCAGCCGGCAACATTCCTTTGTTCAAAGTTTTTCGAAAAAGTGACGTCAGAGGGCCAAAGAGATAGGGGCTCAAAGATAAATCGGCATTTGATGGAATCTTTTCAAATACTCAGGCACTCAAAAATGTTGTCACTCGTAATTGCACTCATGATGCCAATCATTAAGGATCAAAAGAAAATTCTGTTCTGCTGCTACTTATTGAAACAGCAGCAAAAAGTGATAATGAACATAATGATAGATGGTACATTCAAGGTTTCCATACGACATTTTTCCTCTTTCTCTGGAACCTGAATCCTCAGAACGACCGTGGTCGCTTTTCATTGAAACGATTCCACTTTTAGGATTACTAGAACCGGAGTGCCACTTATAATAAAATAATAATAATAGCTGCTTCAGCGTTGGTTAGGCCGTAGGCCTGTTGCCGATTCTTAACATCGCAGAACATTTTCAGCTTGCTGCGGGTCTTGAACTCGCAACTCACTGCTCCAATTTTGGTTTCCTCAATCGCCCGGCCTCCTCATCGATTCTGACCAGAAACTGCATGGCGCACAGAGCTGGGATCAAACCCGCACCTCTGTGCTCCAATCTTGGATCTCTGTGGAACTGCAACCACTGGGCCACCTTGACCATAATTGGTCTACTCTTTACAGGTATACGCGAGGTAAAGTAGTATTGTAAAAGAGTCTGCGACGAATATTGGGCTTAGTCCATGCAGGTTATATAATATTTTCTGCACGTCAGCGACAAAATCCTAGAACTGTTGCTGCACCGCATTTGGTTGCAAATCATACTCGAGAATACATTATTGTATTATGAGAGAAATTGCAGAGGAAGTTGGAGGTGAATTGCTGGCATGGATCCACAGCTTCCTAACAGAAAGACTACAAGCTGTAGTTGTTGGAGGCTCGAGATCGAGCGTGGCTAAGGTGAAGAGTGGAGTACCACAGGGAACGGTACTCGGCCCAATCCTTTTCCTCATCCACATCGCCGACATAGATGTGGCAGTGAACCACGCCACTGCATCGTCATTCGCGGACGACACCAGGATATTAATGAACATCACAGACAGGACGGACAGTGAGAGGTTACAAGAAGACCTCTCTGCAATATATGACTGAGCCCTAGTGAACAACATGCAGTTCAACGGGACCAAGTTTGAGGTCCTGAGGTACAGAGGAACCGGGAGAGCTGGAATGGATCACCGCTACCTGGCACCTGACAACTCGGAAATCGAAGAGAAGCGACTCGTTCGCGATCTAGGAGTGTTGATGAACAATCAGGTCAATTTTGGTGATCACATACCGGCAATAACCGCAAAAGGTAGACAACAGATGGGGCGGATCTGGCGGACGTTCAGAACGAGAGAGGCAGAATCGATGATCACACTCTTCAGAGCCCTTGTAATACCTATCCTTGAATACTTCTGCCAGCTCTGGACTCCGTTCACGCTAGGCGCAATACGGCAACTGGAAGGAGTCCAACGAACCTTTACTTCCAGGATCAGAGGGATGGAGAATTTTAACTACTGGGGGAGGTTACAGCGACTGAGTCTGTACTCACTGCAGAGGAGACGGGAGAGGTGTGTCATTCTGTACACATGGAAAATGATAACCGGAATGGTGCCAAACTTCGAGAGCGAGACCTTCAAGATTCAGACATATCACAACGAGAGAAGGGGGAGACTGTGCAAGATCCCTCCCCTGCGTAACAGATCCGCAGTCAGATTTCAATCCCTGCGAGAAGGATCACTCTCCGTGGCAGGACCAAGGCTGTTCAACGCCCTACCAAGGGATCTAAGAGAGGGGGAGTTCACCCTGGAGACCTTCAAGAGACAGCTAGACGTGTTCCTGAGCACAATCCCAGATCAACCTCCCCTGCAACAATACCAGCGGCGAGAAGCAAGCAACAGCATCGTGCATCAGGTGGCCCAAATGAGGGCGGATGAACGATAATCAGAGGCGGCGATCCATCGTGGCCTGGGACTGCTATGTCCCAAACAAATACTAAGGATACTAAGAATGATGTTAGCATAGGTAAACAACGTTGCGCATAAGCATATTTCCACAAGGTTTCACAGTTGGCACGCCTCCCAGAAAGCTAAAATAGTTCAAAATATAATATAAGTATTTGCAAATGTGTCCTAGGAGCCTAACACTCTTGTCCCCAACATTACAAGAAACTAAGGTAAATTTAAGTGTAAAAATTGACTAAAATTTGATTAGGTCTTAAATTATTTATATTGATTTCTAATGTTTTTTAATTGATTATTTTGCAATTTTTGCTTCACCAATCGTCAAGACTATTCTTACCAACCTTATCCTTACTTGCTACCACCTCAAACTCCAAAATGTCTCACCAATCTCAATCACAGCCACGAGCGCTGCGCCGCTGCCTCAGACAACCCATAATCACTGCAATCCACTTCTCACATGTTCTCTCACACCCCACGCTTCTACTCTCACTTCCATCATTACCCCTGTATGCTCGTACATTCTTCTTTCACATATGA